CCCACACACCACAACCAAGCTCCCTTCAGACTCCCATGCCCTACAGAGGGCTCGGGGGGCGGCAGCGAGATGGTGCCACGTTTAATTCTCTGTGTAATGAGGCCTGTAACAGATGACAGCTGAGATCCAAAGCTCACGGTACCGGCAAGGTGCTTAAACATTGACAATCTGTAACAGCATTTCATCTGACTCCAAGCAGCTGCGAGCCTCCATCCTGGAGTGCAGGGGGCGTCTTTCTCGACTTTCAGAGCCTGGACGGTGAGCCGGTCAGCCTGCCCTGGTCCAGTCGGCCACCGGAGAAGGGAAATTGCTGGCAGCCCGCTTTCCGACGTTGAGAAAGTGAAGCAGAGTCTCCAGGTCAGCTTCCTGTCATGACTTGGTCCCCGAGAGTCAGCTTCCGCATCCTGGTGCTGACCCGCTGAGCTCGGATGGCCAGCTGATGGCAGGAGGCTTGTGTCAGGGTGAGGCCCTGGGGTGTGGGGGCGACATCCCGCTAGTTCTTAAACTGCCTTCCAGACACCCTAAAGCTGCACTTCTGACGGACGAGTAGCCTGTTTCCTCCATCTCGGCGGGTGGATGAGCAAGGATAACCCCAGGGGAGATTAACTAGCCCCCCAGGCGGCCTGTGGATACATCTCCTTGCTCCAGGACGGCCCCAAGCGCTCACTGGGGCTAAGACTCCAGCGTCTGAGCCTGGCTGCTGCTGAGTTATGTTCCCTACAGGCTGACCGCTGACGCAAGACCCCAATTTCAGACAGATGCTGGTGCCCTGGCTGAGAAGGGTGAGGAGACCATCCACGGGGATCTTATAAAATTCTAAGCAAACTTTTTGAGAATCTTGTGGATTCCCCTGCAGCTGTGGGAAACGGCTTAGCTCCCCAAGAGTCCTTTACCAGCGACCCCCGAGGGCGTCACCCTGGGAATCTGCAGCATGGCACCAGCAGGGAGCTGACATCAACGCGGTCCTCACACAGAGCGCTTCCACCGCCCGACAGCCCCTCCCATGGCCGGTGACAGCCCGCGTCCGTTGGGCTCTCTCCCTCTCTGCAGGGACACGAGCTTTCAGGTGGAAGGAAGCGACTCGGGCAGCGTCTCGGGCGCAGCTCCTCTCCAGTCGTCCCCCACCTTTCTGGAACCAGGGACGGGTTTCCTGGAAGACAGTTTTTCCATGGACAGGGCGGTGGGAGGGGTGTCAGGATAACTCAAGCGCACTGCGTTTGTTGCGCACTTCGTTTCTCTGTGATTATATCAGCTCCACCTCAGACCATCAGGCATTAGATCATGGAAGCTGAGGACCTGGGGACCCCTGCTCGAGACCAAGGCTTCCTTATCTTTTCTCGACGTGTGGACCCTCTGACAGCTGGCTGACTTTGAAGGACCCCGTCTCAGAGTGGTTTCAGATGTGTGAAATACAACGGAAAAGGAAACGAGTTACACGGGTGATGTTAAGCGCCTGGCGGGACCTGGAAGTTCACAGTCATGTCCGTCCCCAGGCTGCGAGGAAGGTGTGGGTCACGTGGGTCTTCTTGGCACCCTTGGTAAGCCACGTGGTCTTTGGGAGATGTGGTAGAGAAACGTGGATTTCCGTGACACCCTCATCCCAGGGAACTCGCAGTCTTGGCTACATCACAAATGCCTTGGATAAGAAGGTCAAGCAAGGTCTGCGGACGACGTAATTCCAGCGTAAGGCTGAGTGTGAAGGATCCGGGGCAGTCTCTCCACGGCTGGCACGCGATGTGAACGTGCCGTGACTCCTACTGCCAGCGGCCTCACAGCTACTGCAGTGACTTAGGCGGTTTCTCACCTCCTGTCGTGGGCTGAACTGCATCCCCTTGTCATTCACACCCCCGAGGCCTGACCCTTAGGCTCTCAGAATGTGATCTTATTTGGAAATAGGGTCTCTGCAGGTGTAATTAATTAAGATGCGGTCATGAGGGTGGGCCCTAATTCCATATGACTGGGGATGTGGAACAACAGACTGTTTCCAAATGGGAAAAGGAGTACGTCAAGGTTGTATATTGTCACCCTGCTTATTTAACTTATATGCAGAGTACATCATGAGAAACACTGGGCTGGAAGAAGGACAAGCTGGAATCAAGATTGCCGGGAGAAATATCAATAACCTCAGATATGCAGATGACACCACCCTTATGGCAGAAAGTGAAGAGGAACTAAAAAGCCTCTTGATGAAAGTGAAAGAGGAGAGTGAAAAAGTTGGCTTAAAGCTCAACATTCAGAAAACTAAGATCATGGCATCTGGTCCCATCACCTCATGGGAAATAGATGGGGAGACAGTGGAAACAGTGTCAGACTTTATTTTTTTGGGCTCCAAAATCACTGCAGATGGTGACTGCAGCCATGAAATTAAAAGACGCTTACTCCTTGGAAGGAAAGTTATGACCAACCTAGACAGCATATTAAAAAGCAGAGACATTACTTTGCCAACAAAGGTCCGTCTAGTCAAGGCTATGGTTTTTCCAGTGGTCATGTATGGATGTGAGAGTTGGACTGTGAAGAAAGCTAAGTGCCAAACAATTGATGCTTTTGAACTGTGGTGTTGGAGAAGACTCTTGAGAGTCCCTTGGACTGCAAGAAGGTCCAACCAGTCCATCCTAAAGATCAGTCCTGGGTGTTCATTGGAAGGACTAATGCTGAAACTGAAACTCCAATACTTTGGTCACCTCATGGGAAGAGTTGACTCATTGGAAAAGACCCTGATGCTGTGAGGCATTGGGAGCAGGAGGAGAAAGGGACGACAGAGGATGAGATGGCTGGATGGCATCACCGACTCAATGAACTTGAGTTTGAGTAAACTCCGGGAGTTGGTGATGGACAGGGAGGCCTGGCATGCTGTGATTCATGGGGTTGCAAAGAGTCGGATGTGACTGAGGGACTGAACTGAACTGAACTGAACTGGGGTCCTTCTAAGAAGTGGAAATTAGGGACTTCCCTGGTGATCCAGTGGCTAAGAATCCACCTACCGGTGTAGGGGACACGGGTTCGACCCTTGCTCTGAGAAGATCCCACATGCCATGGAGCAACGAAGGCTGGGGGCCATAACTACTGAAGCCCGCGTGCCTAGAGCCCATGCTCTGCAACAAGAGAAGCGCCGCAATGAGAAGCCACGCACCACAACTAGAGTGGTCCCCACTCTCTGCGACTGGAGAAAGCTTCCGTACAGCAAAGAAGACCCAGCGCATCCAAAACAGTAAATGAATAAAATAAATAAAGAGCGGATATTTGGATGCAGGCATGAGCGTGGGGAGGAGCCCAGCTGATGAGGAAGGTTGGGGCCTGGGTGATGCTTCTGCCAGAAGCCAAGGCGCCGCAGAGGCTGTGAGCGACACGCCGGGAGCCGGGGGAGGTGCTGGGCCGGACTCCTCACCTCGGGCCCCGGGGAGCCAGCCCTGCCGACACCGTGATCTGAGGCTTCCCGCCTCCGGGACTGAGAGACGGCCCATCTCTGTTACATAAGCCACCCTGTGTTTGGTGCTGGGTTACAGCGGTGGGGGAAACGTATGTGTGTTTATAAGCGAAGGAAGTGCTACTTTCAGTTAGAGGTTAGTGAAGATAAGAGCATATATATATTTTTTCCCATCTAAATGGTTGGATCTCCAGAATTCTACCCATGAACACCGCGGGGGCCTGGGGAGCGAGCAGGGTAACCGCTGGATTTGAGTGGTGAACCGCTTGCTACCTTTAGGTCAGCATGGCCTCCACAGCCTCGTTCGGGCCCAGACCCCAGGGCCCTTTCAGCCCCGGCGCTGGCTGAGCCCGGGGCCTGCCACAGACTGGGGGCCCTCTGTTTCCGGCACAGGACAGACACCCTGCTTATCAGAAACTGGCCAGGTCCTGGGCTCTTTGGTTGGAGCCAAAGAATCATTCATGTTTCATAGAAACTGTCTTGGCTTATGGACCAGGTTTCTCCTTAGAAGTTTCCAGAAGGCACTTCTAATTAGGAACCTCTTAGAACAGTTTGCTGGGGAGGATGGGCACCTGTGACGTTGAGGGGTCTCCAGCTTCAGGGATCCTTCCTCCTGGTCTAACAGCTGCTTTAGACCTTAGTCTAAAATGTGCCCAGAACTGGACTCCATCTAGTGGGAGGGACCTGGCGGTCTGCTTTCTGAGCGTGGTGTGGGCCCACCAGGTACACTCACCCCCAGAGGTCCATCCTGAGCTGTGCAGTCTGAAGGTCGTGGTAAACACGTGCGGTGCTCCTGTGTGGGTGATACCCCCACCCCCAGCCGTAACACCAGCCTCAACCCATCAGAAGTTCATTTTCCAGTAAATCCTTCCTAAAAGCTGAAGCTCGAACACTTTGTCCACCTGATGCCAAAAGCCATTGGAAAGACCCTGATGCTGGGAAAGACTGAGGGGGGGAGAAAGGGGGCGACACAGGATGAGATGGTGGGATGGCATCACTGACTCGATGGACATTGAGTCTGAGCCAACTCCGGGAGTGGGTGGTGGACACAGAGCTGGACTCCACTGAGTGACTGAACAACAACAAAAGGTATTAACCGAACAGCAGGAAGGGGAGAGCCCTCTCAGGGCAGATGGGGGCGGGTGGGTCTCAGCCTCGCTCTCAGCAGGTGACAGGGGTACCACTCCTGGCAGGAAGGCTCACAGCGAGGGGACGAGCAGGACGTGGCCCACCGAGACCCTGGCCCATCTCTGAGCCACGCACGAGTGTCACTGGTGAGCCGAGAGCGTGTGCGCGGGGCCCTGAGTCCTCAAGCACGTGTATCCGTGTGAAGTTACCCTCCCCTAACCTGGGCTCACGTGGCCACCTTGTCGTGGGTCTGATGCCCGTGAGGTTGTGAGCACAGTTATGGTTATGAAAACAGAGGGTGGGGGAGTGAGAGGGAGGCTCTCGTTTCAGCATCACTCCCTCGGTCCCCTTGTCGTCAGGGAGACTCTGTGCCAGGCGGGCCTGCGGCCTGGACATGTCCCCCTTGTACAGATGCAGGGACATGGTTTCGGGGGGGCGCCCGCCCTACCTGAGGGTCTGGCCTCGATGACGTAGCCCGTGGTGGGTGTCCTGCCCGGCCTGCCCTCCGTCCACTGCAGGGTCAGCTCAGAGGTGGATTTGGTGACCGAGACATCTCGAGGGGAGCCTGGGGACCCTGTGGGCAGAGCAGAAAAGGGGGCTTTGGGGACTTCTCGCCCTCAGAGGCCCTCCAGGCAGGGCCACCAGCTCAGTCTCAGGTTCCTCCTCTAGAAAGTGGGGGTGGGGTGGGGGCCGACGCAGGCCTCACAGGGTCCATCAGAGGATCAAGAGAGGTGAGGCGTGGAGGTGTCCCTGGACCCGCTGCCCTGGCCTCCGTAAGCATCTCTGTAAACAGAGGCCAAGGTCATTTGTGAAGTGGAAACCTTGGCTCAGCCTCATGTGTGAAAACTTCAAATTTTTCTTGTGTATATTGAACGCACTTATTTTGTCTTAATATTTTTCCCAGAAAAGAAATACAAACTTGACATGCTTAACACCTCGGAATTTGCTTGTCTATACTGAACGCGTCCATGTGCAGACACTCGCATTGATACGTGCTTTTGAAGACAGGGCCAAGAGAACTGCCCGGCCTGCCCTCCGTCCACTGCAGGGTCAGCTCAGAGGTGGATTTGGTGACCGAGACATCTCGAGGGGAGCCTGGGGACCCTGTGGGCAGAGCAGAGCAGGGGGCTTTGGGGACTTCTCGCCCTCAGAGGCCCCCCAGGCAGGGCCACCAGCTCAGTCTCAGGTTCCTCCTCTAGAAAGTGGGGGTGGGGTGGGGGCCGATGCAGGCCTCACAGGGTCCATCAGAGGATCAAGAGAGGTGAGGCGTGGAGGTGTCCCTGGACCCGCTGCCCTGGCCTCCGTAAGCATCTCCGTAAACAGAGGCCAAGGTCATTTGTGAAGTGGAAACCTTGGCTCAGCCTCATGTGTGAAAACTTCAAATTTTTCTTGTGTATATTGAACGCACTTATTTTGTCTTAATATTTTTCCCAGAAAAGAAATACAAACTTGACATGCTTAACACCTCGGAATTTGCTTGTCTATACTGAACGCGTCCATGTGCAGACACTCGCATTGATACGTGCTTTTGAAGACAGGGCCAAGAGAATCCCCTGGGGGCCCAGCGGTTAGGACTCTGTGCTTCCACTGCAGGGGGCCCTGGGCTGATCCCTGGGTGGGGATCTAAGGTCCCACACGGTATGGGGCACGGCCAAAAGTTAAAAAAAGAGAAGAAAACAGGACCAAGAGACCCGAGCTGAAGCCAGCTCTGAGCGGCCGAGGCGGCTCGCTGGAGTGCAGACAAACCAGTAAGTGGACGAAGGGGGCTGGCTACTCACCCTCGGCCGGCCCAGCCGTGACGTTGGCCTGCAGCTCGGGCCCGTAGGCGATGGTCCGCGCCTGCACGCGGAAGAAGTAGGTGACGCCCTTGGTGAGGTCCCGCACCTTCAGCCAGCGGGGCCAGTTCCCCTTCACGTCCACGGTCACCACTTTGCTGACCCCTAGAGCCACAGGAACGGGGAGAGGGGAGGGTTCAGAGGGGCCCGGAGCCCCGCCCGCCTGCTGGGCTCTGATAACGACGCAGAGGCCCCTCGGTCTGCTGAGGAAGTGTTTCTTACAATTAGGCGGCGTTTAAGTGGTGATAATGGCCAATTTTCAGCACAGATAAGTGCAATTAGAGCCTAAGCTTGAGAAGCGGGTGCTGACAAGGGAAGAACCGCCCTGAGGACACGTGGGAGGAGGCGGTCAGGCTTGCCAGTCACGTCGGGGGCAGAGACGCCCGGTACCGGCACCACCCACACGGCAAGGCCTTGGGGTCTGCAGGGTCCCTTCCCACAAAGTCCCGCGTCACGTCGGAGGCGACCTCGGGCTCCCCGACTCAGTCCTGGAGGAGAGATCGTGGGAGAGGAAGACTCGGGAAGACTTCTGGGGTTAAAGGTGCAGCCCCTGCCCCCTGGGCAGTGGGGACCACCCTGTGTTTTAAGGGCCTCGGCCACGCACAAGCACAGCTTCGCCCGGGACTTGACGTGAGGATGGAGAACCTGTCACCGTGGACAGCGGTGCTTCCGTCCAGGACCCGGACGGCATGGAGACCTCGCCCTCAGATACGGGGACGGAGCGGGCGTGACGCTGGCTGCACGGCATTTAATTAGAAAATAGTATTTTGGGAGGAAGATACATCCTGAAAAATACATAAATGCAGCCTTTCCCAGAAGGGAAAATAGGGTTCTTTATGACAAGTTTGAAAATGAGGTTTTCAAAAAAAACAAGTTTGTTTTTTTCGAACAAAAAAGCTACGGAAGCTCTAGACTGCGGGACTCCTGAGGGCTTCCAGCCCGCCGATGGCTGTCGGGCACCTCTGGGGGGGCGTCAGGCTGCGGTGGCTCCAGGACTGGTCGGTCAGCAGAGGGTGTGTGGACAAGCTGCGCCCGGTGCCTGCTGTCCAGGGTCCAGGGCCCGCCCCTCTGCGTCCCCCACACAGAGAACCGCCGGGCGTCCCGAGACCGCGGGGCCGCCTGACTGTCCCCGCTGTGAACGGCTGGTGCTCTTCACACCTGGAGTCCTGGGGTGGCCTTGACCTCAGAAGAGCCCAAAAGCGTGTCCTTGTGCAAGATGGGTCCAGCTTCCGAGTCGCCGGAGCAAATCCCTCCAGTCCTGCAGGTCCCAGGGTCCCTTCTCGTGGCTTACTGCGTTCACATCACGCCTTTTATCAAACACTCGCTCAGCTAAATCATTCTCTTCCCAATTATTTCAGAGCGATTCTGGCAGCGTTTGCCTGGCCGGAGCTCTTCACTGGAGAAGCAGGGCCGTTCCTCCCAGGGAAGCTGCCCCTCAGCTCATCGCTCCGGACAGGCTTCCGGTGGGGACAGCCCCACACACGTCGCCAGCTGATGCTGGGGGCCCTGTGGGGTGTTTAGTCTTTTTGACAGACCAGCCTCCGCCCCTTTTATTGTTGTTGTTAAAAAAAAAAACCAAAAAACAACTTTCTTTCTCCTGAGAGTAGAACCAACTCCAGGCACAGATTTTGTGAACTCTGTCCCCCCCACCCCCATCCCGTCCCAACCATGGCAGAATCTTGTTTAGTCCATTTTAAAACCGTGCCCTGCACTACAAAGGCTCATGGTGCAATTCCCTAAAACGCTTCCATTTAAAACTTTTTGTTGTTGTTGATGTTCAGTAACTCAGCTGTGTCCCACTCTTTGTGACCCCACGGGCCGCAGCACGCCAGGCCTCCCTGCCCATCACCATCTCCCGGAGCTTGCTCAAACTCATGTGCATTGAGTCGGTGATGCCATCCAATCATTTCATCCTCTTTCGCCCCCTTCTCCTCCTGGCTTCAATCTTTCCCCCATTTAAAAGACATTTTTAGAAAACACAAAAATAGCTCTTCCATGGAATCGGATTCCCAAGACCAGGGCCTGGCACTCCGAGGGCTTCTCTCCTGGGGCCCGGGGTCCACAGCACTGGGTCCACGCTTGCCCCCCGCTCCCTGGGCTGAAGGCAGCCCACCAGGTCTGGGCCAGGGGGCGGGGGACGCAGGGTCAGCTGGGGCGAGGGCGCTGCTTCATAACGTCTGTTTACTGTCTCCACTGCAAACGTGCGTGTGCATGTGTAAACGTACATATCACATCCTTGGTGGTCTTCACGGGGAGCCAGCTGCCACAGAGAGCCGACATAGAATGAAGACACCCGAGGGTCCCCTGTGTTTGCAGCCACGTTTCCGGGAGACACGTGAACGTTTCGGAATTGTTCGGAGCCCCCGTCACCACTTCCATGGGTCCCTGTGGGAATCCCGAATCCCACAGTGAAGGGGGCTGGGCTTCTCCAGGAGACCCCCCACTCAGGAGGCCCGCATGCCCATCAGACTGGCTGGCTGCCCTAAGCGGGGGGGATACATAATCCAGGAACTGGGGGGCCCAGGGGAGGCACGGGCCGAGGTGTGGGGACTCGGGGTGTGGAAACGCTTCCTAAGCCTCCGCCTGCCCTGAGGTGGCTGCTATTCTGGTGGCAGTCAGCGCTGGCCAGTGTGAGGCCCTCAGCCGAGCCCAGAGTAAGGGCTTTCCACGCTCAGCCCCATGGCCGTCACCAGCGGCCCTGCCCCGCCCTGGGCACGGCCTCCGCGCAGCCCCGCCTGGCAGACCCCACCTTCCCGGGCCACGGGCCATGGAGGCCAGAAGGGCTTGGGCTCGGCGTATGACTGGAGAATCAGGGGTTCGCGGAACAGCCACGGTCCAGGCAGGCTCTGGGTGGGATCCTGAGAAGCGGGCCCGGGTTGGTGGTGAGCAAGGTGCGTCTGGAAGGTCACAGGTCCAGGGCGGCACTTGGGCGGTGGGCCTTGAGCTCTGCCCCCAGGGATGGGGTGTGTGCTGGCTGCCCGGCGGCTGCGGGAGGCGTGAGGCCTGAGGTCAGCCTCACTCCCGCAGGAGCAGGGCCAGAGCTGTTGGGGGACGGGTGGGCCTGGCTCAGGGCAGCTCTGGGGGTAGAGGCGGACCCGGGGCTCCGCTGGCTGGGCTGGGTGCTGCCAGTCACTGTCGGTCACGGGCAGCAACCCCAGCCCTGGACTGGGCACCGGACAGACAAGCGGGAGTTGGGGCCTGGGACGTGCCAGTCAGGAATCTGGGCTCCGGACAGGAGACGGGGCAGCGGCTGTGTGACCGAACACCGAGTCCCCGGCCCCACTCACCGGGGCAAGCAAAACGCCAGAGTCCAGTAATTCTTGGCCCTTCCTGGCCGCTGAATGAGCAGATCCTGGCCTGTCTCTTCCAGGGCCGCTGGGGCTGTGACCGTGACCCCGGCCACGCCCAGGCTGCCTGTCCCCAGACTGAGTGGGGCTGACCTCTTGGCTGTTGTACTGTGTCCTGCCATTTACCAAAGTTCATCGATTTTCTGAGATGCGTGCCCCTCACGCATCCACGTCTAATCTGGGATGCAGCTCGGGACTGGTGCTGCACATGAGGCTTGCGCCGGAGTACATTGGAAACACATAATCCAGGCCTTTTTTCTTCCTCAGCACTTCATAAAATAACCATGAATCTCGGAGTCCAAGGCAGTTGAGATGTGATGAAATAAAATCTAGGGCTTAAATTTTCTTCTTCACATCAACTCCCTGTTTTAGTTGAATGTGCTTATTTTTAAAGGAAACATTTATCGCGGTGCTTTAGGTGGAGAGCCAGGATCATTAGATGTGTGGGTGGTATCTTTCCCTCCTAAACATTAAACAATCCGTAACTTTTAGTCTGTCTGCGTCTATGACCCCTGCCCTCCACTGCACCGCGGTCCTGGGCGCGCAGAGGGGCAGAGAGAAAGGCCCACTCAGCCCTCACTGTGTGCTCTGGGCCCTGGGGCTCAGCCTCAGTCTCCGGTTGGGGAACATCCTGCAAGCCCAAGGTGTGCACCCCCCAAAAAACCCTTGCCGAGTTAACGTCAGAACGAAGGGTAGCCCGGAGAAGCACCTGGGCGCAGCGTCTGGGCCCAGCGCCTCCTTCGGCAACGCTGCCCACGTGGTTCCGGCGGGCGGCGCGCGGGTGGGACGAGCCCTGGGGCCTCAGGAACAGCAGGTGGTGAGGACGCGGGTCAGGGGCTCCAGGAGGGCGGCTGTGCGGAACGCGAGCCGCGCTCGGCCGTTCAGCCGCCTCGGCCCGCGTTGATGGTGGGTGCCAGGCCCGGGGAGGCTCACCTTGGACCGGCGCGAGCGGCTCGTACACCACTCGGTAGCCCTGCAGGACGCCGTTGGCCGCCGCGGGCTCGCCCCACGAGACATTCAGCGTGGTGGAGGTTATTTCCGAGAACGTCAAAAAGCTGGGGGTCCCGGGAGCTGGAGGAATAGGACAGGATGTTCACTAAAGCTCCTTTTACAGCAAGGGATCATCTACATAGGTGTCCATGCCTCTGCCCGGAACAGAAATGTTTATTAGATGTTGTTTTCAACTCGGCGCAGGCTCAATGCCACGCAGGGTGTAAAGGAGATTTACTGATCATCCCCAACCTCCCAGGATCAACTGGAAACTGAAACCCTCCCGAGAGGAGCAGAGGAAATGATGGTGTTTAAGCACAAAGGAGCCTGAGAGGCACAGTGACAAAGGTGTAAAAATGAATAACAGAAACAGAAAACGCAGCGGGGATAGCACTGTCAGCTCCAGTCCTGCTCCTCTGGGGAGCCAGGCTCCCTGGTGGGTGATGGATGGAGGCTCGGCCCTCCTCTCCTTTCCTTCTGTGGCGGGGGGCGCTGGAGGCCCCAGAGGACACCCCCACCCTGTCCTCATCTGAGATCACCCGGTGTCCGACCACCTCACAGTCCCCCTTGGTCTGGAGATGGGGGAGCTCGCGGGCCAGCCTGAGTGGGGAGACATCTTTTCCCAGCAGATGCAGAGGCCGGCTGGGGGTCAGGGAGCAGGCCGACCCACCCAAGGCCCCTGTCCACCTCGACTGGAGCCCCGAGCTTCCCCCACCACGTGGGGACTGACATGCCCCAGCCCAGTTCCCCTTGGAGAGGAGCAATGCCCACTAAACCAGCCCCTCCTGCCTCGCTTCTGCCCTCCCCCGTCCCTGAGAGCCCTGTGGCCACACGACCGCCTGGGCCCACGGTGCCCGAGGGTCCCCGCCTCCCACTCTCAGCCCCACAGCTCCGCCCGCCTGCTTCCCGCTCAGAGTCCACGATGGCCCCTTCCCGGCCTTGCAGGAACCGCCGGCCAGGCCCCAAGGGCGCGGCCCTTACAATCCGGCTGTAGTCATCTTGTGGGGGGCAAAGTGCTTGGGAGCCCCTCTTCCCAGGAAGACTGAACCCACAGAATGTTGGGGAGCCCCGAGAGGAGGGTCTGTATCCCGTGGGCTCCTGAACCTACTTTGCTGGACTTTGACCCTCTGGATCTCACGGAGCCCCTCGGAGCTCCCGGGACCCCAGGCCCAGCAGCCTTTCTTTTGGGAGTCCTGGCCAGCCTCACAAAGCCCCCCAGGCCACAGGGGACTCTGAGAGTCACCAGCAGAGTGAGCGATCAGCTCAGAATGCACACTGGGTGAGGAGAGGAGGCCATGGGCAGCGTGAGCCCCGGCAGGGCAGCCCAGGCCAGCTGCTTCGGGGGGCTCTGCGGCTGAGGTGCCAGGGGCCCCACACTGCAGCCCGGGTCAACAGACAAGGGGATCCCCGCTCTGGGAGCTGGACCTGAGAGAAGCCCCCCAGGGGCCTGGGGCGCATCCTGCCTGCGAGGGATGAGGCCTCGTGCNCGCCTAGATGGGAGGGGGGACCCCAGTGCTCCTGGGGGGCGAGCAGTCCTCTGCAGAGGCCAGGCCAGGTAGACGGGGCCTGCAGACGGAGGTGGCTGCCAGGAAGGTGCCTTAGGACCAGGCTCCTGGACCAAGGGGAGACTGACCCAGCCCCAGCTCCAGCCTGTGGACAGCACCAGCCCCCAGCTTCACTCGAGGCTCCGACATTTTAACCCCAACATCCATGGAAGCCTTCGATCAACATGACCCAATACTGTGGACGTTAAACAGCCTCAGATGACGAGGAGAAGGGCCGCGCTGGGTTCAGCGCTGCTGGGTGGCCCGTGTTTCTCCTGATTCTGTTTCCTCATGTCTGGTTGTTATGTGCTCATGGGCAAACATGATGCCCACACACAGAGGTTTGTAAGGTCATCTGAACTGTTTTCCTTGACAGCTGGCGGAGAACCACAGCCCCAAGCCAGTGCCAGCCAGGCGGCCCAGAGACAGCCCTGACCCGCGGATCCGCTTTGGCTCCATGGGTGTAACCTGGGCTGGGTGGTCAGAGCCGCTGACCCACGTGCAGAGTGGCAGAGGCTCCGCAGGCTGGGGGCCGGCTCTCCACCTGGCTGGCCAGGCAGGAGTGGCTCTGGTGGGTTAACTATGCTCATTCCCTCCTGCAGGACGAACTCCAGCTTCTGCGCTCTGAACTGGCCGGTGAGGTGCTCTGCTTGAAGAGGCTGTACTAACCTGGACACTGAGATCAATACCCACATTCAGCGTCTGTTTAAGACACTATTATTGGGAAATTATTAATAGGGAACATGCTTCGGACATACACAGATAGCACCTTGCCTCCAGGCTCAGGGGACTTGATGTTGCCTCATCAATCATTGTTAACAGCCCTGCCTTGGAAGAAGGCCTTTCTTTTCACAAAACAGCTACAGAAAATCAGTCTTAGAGGGACATTTAATCGGCCCAATAGTCATCATCAGGGCAGGCGAGCCCATAGAGTCTGAGATCTGATTGACTTGGGGCTCAGCAGGCCAGACAAGGAGACTCACCCTGGGGGGAAGATGGGGGTGTGCAAGGGACAGCCCTGGGCTGTTTATCTCAGGAGGGTTTTGGCTGACCTCAAGGGGTCCCAGCCCCCTCCGCAGGGGTGACCTTGGAGGTGAAACCCTGGGAGGGGCTCCCTGCCCCCCACCGACCTGTGTGACTACTCATCCCCGATGCTTTTACGGGAATGGCCTGGTGCCTTCCTTCCAGCCCGCTTCTGGAATATTCAGTTAACACTGACTCAAAACAGGTCAGTATCAGGGTTCTTAAACTGAGGTCCCCAGGAACCAGGCCTGCTGGGGAGCTTGTTACAGATGCACATTTTTGGGCCCCATCCTGGACCTACTGAGTCAAGACTTGGGAAGCGTCCTGTAGTGACACTGGGCAGAGCTGGGGGCAAGGCCTGGTCTCCTCAGGGCCCCCTCTGCACCGTCAGCAAAGGTGGTGGAGGCTCCCCAAAGGGATGCAGGGTGAGGAGGGGCCCGGCCTGGGAGGGAGGGCCTGCTGGCCCCACAGTGAGCCTCCCCCCACCCCCAGGCCTGGGGGGAAGTGAGCCGAGGCTGGTCCAGCCCCTCAGCGACGCCTACTGCTCTGTGGGTGAGGGCTGCTGTGTTCTGGCGCAGGACGCAGAGGGTGGCGAGAGCTGGGGGTGGCCGTGAGCTGGGGGGTGTCCAGGCCACTGGCCCTCGTCCACAGGTGGCGGGGAGGGAAGACCGCCACGCGAGGGGCTTGCCTTGTAGCCCTGGATGTTCCCGTTCTGGCTCTCAGGTGGCGGCGGCTCCCACGAAACCTCCAGCTGGCTGGCAGTGAGCGGGTTCACCTGCACGCGCTGCGGGGCCTGGGCGGGGGCTGCGGGGCAGAGAGCAGAGGGTCAGCTGAGCAGCCCGCCCACCCGCATGGGCTCCTAGGCCCCGCCCCTGCCAGGATGACCATGGATCCATCTCAGAACCACGGTTCTAAGTGCATACAGTGAAATCTGAAGAACCCCAGAGAAAAGCGGTTGTACCGAGACACAGCCGCGCTAGTGAGAACAAAGGTGACACAGTAACCCATGCGCGTGTGACTGAGCTGTGAGGTCGCCTGGGACAAGCAGAGACGGCCCAGGAGCCTCCAACCTCACTGCATCGGGTGGGGGGGCCCTGCGGCTGGGGGACCCGGGCCCCCCAGACCCCGTGCTGCTGGCCGTCACACGCGTAACCGAGTTGCACTTGTTCCGTCGCTAAGTCCTGTCCGACTCTTCTCGACCCCAAGGCCTGCAGCACACCAGCCTTCCCTGTCCTTCACTGTCTCCCAGAGTTTGCTCAGATTCGCGTCCACTGAGGCGGCGATGCTCCCCCAACCCCTGCTGCCCCCTTTCCCTCCTGCCCTCAACCTTCCCCAGCATCAGGGCCTTTTCCAGTAACCATAATCGAGGGAAACGCTAAATTCCATGTGGAACTCGGGGAAAACAAAGGCCATCTGTGGGAACGGCCTGGCGGTCCAGTGGTTAGGACTCTGCCTTCACTGCTGGAGGCCCAGGTTCGATCCCTGGTTGGGGAGCTAAGATCTCACACACCACAGTGCAGGTAAAAAAGAAAAACAAAGGCGTGTGTGATCCTGTCTGCAGTTCAGGATGCCGGGGTACACAGCCCTGCCCCCCGGGGGGAGCTGACGTCTGTGGGCCCGCGGCCGTCCCTCCTTGGGGACGGAGCACAGAGGCCACGGCCGCACGTCCCCCCGGGAGGACCCACTCCCCTGGTCCTCCTCTCACCCCACCGTGCTGGGCTGGAGTCAGCAGGGTCACCTGTGCAGGTGAGAGGTGAGAGGTCACTGACAGGGCCCTGTGGCCGTGGCCTTGCCAGCACCACGGGGCAGCTGGGAACAACGCAGACGACCCACGTGTACCTCTGGGGACATTTCTCCCTGCCTGGCACTCCTGCCAGCGGGTCTGTCCCCTGCCTCCTGGGAACCGCTCCCTTCTCCACGCTGGATGCCCCCCTCCTGGCAAACTCCACGACGGGCTGGACCCCAGAGCTGTCGGGTGGGGGAGGGCCTGGCTGCGGGGGGGTCAGGATGCCAGCCCAGCGCCCTCACCCCCTGCAGCCCTGCCCGCGGCCCGGGCGCTGCCTTTGGACTCAAGTCTGTTTATGGCCACACGTGGAAGGAACCAAATGGATGGCCACCGTCGGGGGAGATAGTCTGGGGCGTGGTCCCTCTGGAGGGGGCCTCCGCGGAGAGGACGACCTTCGCAAGTCGCCCCTTCCCCACTGCCCCCCAGTGCAGAATAAAATAGTAATTAACACGCACTCAGCCTGACACCACCTATTCATTCTGCTCTAACTGTGTGGCTCNCAGAATAAAATAGTAATTAACACGCACTCAGCCTGACACCACCTATTCATTCTGCTCTAACTGTGTGGCTCCGTGTTACCGCGGCCCACCCCGCCGCTAATGGAAATGTTAATAACCCACACCAGGTTGTTGTGACAGATGCTCGGCCTCATTATCAGAAATTCTTATTTACCGCTCCATTAAACAACAGAATCACACAGAAAAACAATTCAATCAAAACTAACTGGAGGAATTTTAACAGCCGCATTAATAATCCAAAACATAAATAAAGTTAATGTCTTTTGCATGTTTGCCATTGGCGACTCTGTTGCGAAATGACTGTGGCACAATTAGATGGGGAAAGGCAAAGTGGGGCGCCGCCGTCACCCCGGAGGTGGGTCAGGGCCGTGAGCGAGTGTCCACTGCCCCCGGGTCCCCTTCTCGAAGACGCGGCAGAGCCAGGGTCCATGGCGGCTCAGGGGTGGACACGTGCGACGCAGAGCTCCCCCTGCCCCGGCCCGGTTCCATCCCGGGCGGCAGGCCCACCTGCACCCCCACCCCGGGTGGGGCACTCCCACAGGCCCCAGGCTGTCCTGGAGCACGGTGCCTTCCTGCCCGAAAAACACTGCCGGTACCAAGGACTTCCCTGATGAGGACACAGCCAGGGAGACAGAAATCAACGTAAACACAGCAAAGAGCGCTGGTTTCTAGACTTACGTTTTCAGCTCAGAAGAGCCTCTGGGCTTCCCCACCCCAGACTTGCAGGAAGATGCCCTGTTTACACCCCGCAAGGGATCCTTATTTGTCATGAAGAGTTCGGTTTGGAAGCTGGTGGGGTGTCTGATAGGCCGTAATCTCTTTGTTCCCCCACTTCACTATCTGTGGAGGACGGTGCATGTGAGCGTCGGCTCAGAATGTCGTTGTAAGCACATGAAATCAGTTTGCAGAAGCCTGCTGTCCTGGCAGTCTGGCATGAGCTGATACGTGGACGCCGAGGACAGCGCTGGAGGTGGGGGCTGGGCTGGGCATGGGGCAGAGGTTCCCCTGGGCGCCTCGGCCAGGCAGACGATGCTGACCCACAGCCGTCACCCACCGGGCTGTAGGAGGGCTGACCAGGGTGGTGATAGAGATGCCTCTGGACTTTGGCAGGCTCCTTGTACCCAACAGTGGTGGTGGAACACCAGAGATTTCTGGAATCTTCTGGGATTCTGGCCGAGTGCTCAGGAAGCCCTGCAAAGCTGGGAGCTGCAGGCTGGACTAGGCAGGCGGGTCCCAAGAAGCAGTGAGACCAGCACTTTGTCCAGTTCCACTGGCCCCTGGATGGGCTTGCCGGCCGTCAAAGTGACCATCCGGTGTCAAGGGAAGACAGTGGCTGCCCCTGGCTTTGTGTGGACGTGCTGGTGAAGGGGGTGCTGGCTCCTGGGCCCTGACTCTCGCACTCCTGACTGCGGGTGCCGCAGACCCTGGGTGGCCCTGGGCTCACTGGGGCCCCGCACCAGAGCCTTTCAGAACCTCTGGTACAGGGCGGCGGCTGGACAGGGCCCCGTGTGCTCGTAGCGTGGAAAGGAAAGGAAGCAGCATCTGCAAAGGCGTCTGGTACGCGGCCAGGGCTGGGAGCGCGGGGGCTGCCCACCGCTCGGGCAGCACTGCTCACCATCCAGCCCCTTGCCCAGCCCCACTGTGGGGTGGCACCCGCCCTGGACAGTCCTCCGGAGGGGGCTGCACGTCTCCCCCTGGACACCAGTCTGGCCGATGACCCGTGGGGCATTTCCCAGCAGGAACGTCTGTGGGCTGCAGTCCATAGGGTCACCAAGAGTCGGACATGACTGACTGACTCAGCACACAGGCTACAGAGACGGGAAAACTCAGGCCCAGAGTGATCCGGCGACCGGCCAGAGGCCGCGCACTCAGCAGGCCTGTGGACGCGGCTTCGCGTAAACCCAGGCTGCCTATGGATCTGAGCCGCTCTCCTCCCCTCCCTCGTGGTGAGGTGCCCGGGGCCTGGGGAGGGGGCAGGGAATTCAGCCCCCCACGCCTCGCCGGCCCAGCATGTCTCGCCCCGACCGCCAGCCGCTCCTCGGGGCCCCGGCCCCTCTGTCACCTCCCCTCTCCTCTTCACCTTACTGCTGAGCCAGAACCAAACAACTCCAGGGAGGCTTGACAGGAAGAAGCAGGAAACTGGTCACAAAAACCGTTTTCCAAAAAACCAATGCTGTGCTCTCCAGGCTGCAGGGACGGGGGCTGGAGGCTGCGGGGAAAGCCCTGCACGGGAGTCTAAGCCCTGGGCTCGGACGGCGGGACATAGGGAGTCTGTCCACTCCCCGGGCGCAGCTTCACTGTTTGTGGAATTGGAGGAAATATGGGACGTGAAGGGTCTGGCAGCTGAAACGAAATGGGCGGTGTGAGAGCAGGGCACGGCCGGCCAGGAGCGTGTGCGGTGTCCCCCTGCAGGTCCCCGGGGTGACCTCGCCCGTGGGTGGCTGGGGCACTGCTCCTGTGTGGGCTCTGTCCCCCTGGAGACGGAGGGCTGCTGGGTCACCTGTGCTGACGCGTTTAGATGTCCGTCTCTCCCGGGGGAGCCTGTTTGACCCGAGAGCCGCCCAGGGGTGTCATCACGGACCCACGATGCCCTCCAGGGACCTGCTCCTGGCGCTCACACCTTCATGCCATCCTTCTGACAAGCAGGGTCCTGGGGGTGCTTCTCCCTCTGGGGTCTGCCCCCCCAGGGGGCTCCTGGGGGAGAGGTGTTTCCTCCCTGTGGGAGGAAGCTCTCTTTCTGCTGCCTGGAGCCACTGGGCCAGCTTGAGGAAGAGCCTGCCTGAGACAGGAGTGAGCTGAGAGGAGGAGGAGCCGGGGGGCACAGGGAGAGCCTGTGGGCATGCTGGATCCAGCCACGCCTGAAGCGGTGCCCAGGTCTTCGACTTTTCCGTTACGTGAGTTAGTGACAGATTCTTTCAGCGTAAGCCTCTTTGGGTTTCTATCTCTTGCAAGCTGTAGTCTTTACTAATGCATTATGTTTACCAATTTGTAATGCCTGGACTCAGAAATCAACCTCAGTGAGAGATCTCCTAAAGGTTACCCTTTCTCTCTGAGGTTAAAAGGATTTAAAAATTACATATTCAGGCTAGAGGGGACCCGAAGACCATTAACTCTCAACCTGTCATTGGTCTGTAGGACGAGACCAATCAGGAGTCTGCACAGGGTCTCGTCGCTCACCACTGACTGACCGACCCTGGTCCAGGCGACTCCTGGACATTTATCCTGCAGGCAGGATGGGCAGGACATTTTTCCTGGGGGCAGGGTCGGGGTGAGGGCCCGTCTCCTCCCTCCCAGCCTGCAGGTTTTCCCTCTGCACCATGGTCCTCAGGGCCAGAGCTCAGAGAGGTGGAGTGACGGGCCCAGCATCACAGAGCCGGGACCAGAAGAGGTGACCCTCAGACCTGCAGGTCTGACTGGGGAAACACGCTGTTTCGGGGCAGTCTTCACACAAGTCTGAGCGTTTCCTGCCGAGTGGTCTGGATGGTGAAGCATCCGGCCGAGGAATGGAAACTGCCCCCATTCAGCTTTATTTTCTGCAGGCCTGAGAGCAGCACTGCTCACAGTCAGGAGGAACGCGTTACAAGGGCCCCTGGGTTGCGAGAGGCAGCGAATGGACGGCCACAGGTACGGGGCAGCAGTGCTGAAAGCATGGCGTCCTCCTTCCAGGACGTTCTCTGCGGTGTAAACACGGATGGCTGAGCAATGCTCCGGGGCTGAACGTCTGCCCGACCTGGGTGGGTAGCCTGCGGCGGGGAGCCTGGCCTCGCTCTGGGCTCTGCCTCCTGCGTCCCCGACTGGAGGCCGCCCACCCACAGAAGCAGCCGACGGACACCCTCCTGCCATCTGGGAGAAACACTTGACCCGCCTGGGTTCACAGCAGCTCCACCCCAGCACCCAAGAGGGGGAGACACCCCAGACGTCCACCGATGGGCTGACAGCAAACATGCAGTCTGCACCCAGAGGAGAGTCCTCCCCACGAGAAGGAACCGAGTCTGCCGCCTGCTGCAGCTCGGGTGAGCCGGGGAGACACGCCGGGAGACGGAAGCCGGGTAAAGGGGACAAACGCGGCTCCGGCCCGTGTCCATGGAGCACCCGGAGCAGCGAAGCCACAGATGGGAAGCAAGTCAGAGGCCGACGGGGGCTGGGGGAGCGGGCCTGCCGATGGCTGAGGGGCGTCTGTCGGGGGAGAAGCCAGGGCTGGGGGAGGCGGGCGGTGGCCACTTGGCTGGAGAACGTGCTCCCTACCCCCAGGCTGGACGCTTGCCTGTGACAAGGGCGGCACGTGTTGTGTCAACCATGCTTTACCATAAAATGACCCAGGACAACCACAGACCCAGGACATGAGCCTGGAGGTGGGCAGCCGTCCACGGCCGTCCGGCTGGCTGCTACAGCCCCAGTGCTCCCGGGTCTCCTGCCCAAGCGGGCCTGCCGATGGCTGAGGGGCGTCTGTCGGGGGAGAAGCCAGGGCTGGGGGAGGCGGGCGGTGGCCACTTGGCTGGAGAACGTGCTCCCTGCCCCCAGGCTGGACGCTTGCCTGTGACAAGGGCGGCACGCGTCATGTCAACCGTGCTTTACCATAAAATGAACAACAACCAACCACAGACCCAGGACATGAGCCTGGAGGTGGGCAGCCGTCCACGGCCGTCCGGCTGGCTGCTACAGCCCCAGTGCTCCCGGGTCTCCTGCCCGGGCTCCAGCCCTGTTCTCCGCACGCCTGCATGGGTCCTGGGACGCAGGCCCTGTCCCGAGCACCCGGGCCCCGCCGCTGGTCCTCTCCCTGGGGTGCAGGCTGACAGGAGGGTGGGTCAGCTCTGCAGGTCCTGGCCGGCCAGCCGTGAGCACCCTGAGCCCAGCGGCAGCGCTGGCACAGCTGCCTACACGACGCCCCGCCAGGGCCCAGAGCCCTGCTCTCGCGGACGGCATGTGCCGCGTCCGCCCCGCCTGCGTGGGCTCTTCTGTGGCCAGGCCCATGCCCTCCTGGAGTGCCCGGCCCCCAAGTGACCTCCACCCCTTCTGCTGATAGGCTCCTGTGCAGAGGCTGGGGTGGCCTCCGCTGTCTCCTGTGGGCTCACCTGGTTTACCCCTGCCTATGTGAAAATACCGTGTGAGTCTTCCAGAAAAAACCTGCTAAGCCAGAGACCCTCAGTGCTGGCTCATTGCTGACAATAACCTCTCCAAACTGTGCAGTCACCTGATGTGTCCTGTGGCTGGCCCAGAGTATACAGCCTTCGTCCCCCAAAAGCCTGGGTCCCCGTCCCCTGGGCCATTCCAACCCCACTCACCCTCCCAACTCTGCACCCGCAGATTTGAACAGAACCCTCGGCTATGTGCCAAGATCAGAGAAGACGCCCATCTGTGGGGCAGTGTGTGTGTGTGCGTGCACGCCCAGGGGCATGGGGTTTCTGCAGGGAGAGGGCAGGCGACCCCCTCCTTCCAGGGCAGTGGGGGGCTAGGCGAACGCACGCTCCAGTCTCAACGTGGGATACAACGTCTCCCTGTGCGTCAGCCCCACAGAGGGGACGGTCCTTGAAAACAAACCTAGGGGCCACATCGTACCTGAAAGGGGGACTAACATGGATCTGTACGGCTTTCAGAGATGGGGGAGCGGCTGTTACAGTCAGGCTGACTTGGGGCCGGGGCCAGTGCTCAGGTCCGGCCAGAGACAGCAGGTGACAGACATCCCCCTTCCCGCACCCAGGGTCCCGCACTCCTGGATCCCCACGGGGACGACTGCATGGCCCCCCTACAGCAGGTCCTGCTAAATCCAATGCCTCCAGACCTTAAACATCCCTGGGTCTCAAAAGCAAGACTTGATCGCTCCCGGGGCCACCAGGACACCCAGTCCTTGGCCGAGGACTCTTCCCAGCATGACCAGAAGCCTCCTGAAGCCCCATAACCCGACCTTCAACGAGGGGGACAGTGCTGGACTCTGAGCTGCAGGCGGGACTCACCGGCCTCGCCGACGAAGACCTCCACAGGCGCGCTGGCCGGGCCCTCGCCAATGACGTTATAGGCCGTCAGGACCACTTCGTAGCGCCGGTATTTCTTCAGATCTGCAAGGGCGAGGGAACAGGGTCAGCAGGCAGGAGCCCTGCCCTTTCTTAGAAAGCTCCCTCCGTGACAAGTGCCCCCTGGGGGGACGACAGAGTCTTTTCTTGCAGAGAAGCCTGTGAGGGGCTGGCCACCGTCGGCCGGCTGTGCCCCCTTCCCGCGCGTGACCCCGGGGAGGCAGTCACAGCCGTCCTGCACTCGGGGCGAGGTGGCAACAAGCTCCTCGCCTAAGGGAGCGAGTCTGGGACACAGAGCCTGACCTGGTCCGGAACCTCTCTGGAGAGCAAGAGCAGACAGAGCAAGGCCCTGGCGCCGCTCGACCACGTGGGCGGACCCGCGACCCCCTTCTGTGAGCAACTGGCGGGAGGGCCTGGGGCCGCATTCGCTGACCTCTGCAGAGCGGGGCCCTCTCTGGGAGGCATGGTTTGCAGGAACCACGCGCTCAGGTGGTCAGACACATACGTGGGGCCTTTGGAAAGTCATGCGACTGTGAGACCCTTCCAGAAAGTTCTGGCTTAAAAAAATCAGCTGTTCCCGCCACATCGAGTGGTACACAGCTCATGTGTGGCTGCCTGACCTGCGTGATGGACTTGGCGTCTCATGCCCTTTTCTTTCTAGGACGTGGCCATTCAGACCTCACAGGCCTTGGCTTGCCGACACAGATACATTTAACGGTCAAGATCCTGCCCCCGCGGTCGAGCTCTGCTGCTGAGAAACCAGCAGGCTGGCTCCGTCTCGACTCGGGGCCTCGTGTGATTGCCAGGAATCCTCAGAGACGCAGCAGAGTGGACGCCGGGGCGTGGCCAGGGCGCCCCCTTCCTGCTTCATAACCCGAGACTGAAAGGCCTGGGTGGACACCCCGGGAGGGAGCCCTCGTCACCGGCCGGACCTGCACTTGACTCTTCACTCAACCCCTTGGAGAGGCCACATCTGGGAGACGCCCGGCCCAGGAGGGACTCGGTGGACAGACAAGGAGACAGCGAGGCAGGAGGGGCCAGGCGAGCCGGCGCACGATGGATGACGCGGAGCTTCAGGGGAGGGCACAGCCCCCTGAACCCCGCCCCGGCTGCCGGGCTGGTCGGCTGCGCTGGCACCCGCGGGGCCTGGCAGGGCCGGCTCGTCTTCCCCTGCGTTACCCGCTCTCTGATCCAGCGTCCACTCTGCGCTGGACTGAACTGCAGCTCGGCCCCTGAGCCTTGCACTTGGTCACTGAAACCCACCCCGGCCGGAATCCAAGGGGCAGCAGCGCAGTTTGATAAAGAGAAGAAGAGGCCAGATGGATGAGTGCTGGACATGTGCATGCGATGGCCACCCCCCACCCCAGAGGAGGGGAGACCCCGATGCTGCAGTGAGGAGGACGCTAGGCCTGAAGCCAGCGGACACAGAGGGGCCCGCTGGGCAATCTCCCTGCTGTGAGGTCCCTGGAGGGGTCGGGGTCACAGAGACAGGAAGCTGGGGGTGGGCGCCCGGGGTGGGGCTGGGGGAGGTGGGGGGCGTCAGTGTTTAACGGGGTAGAGTCNGTGGGGCTGGGGGAGGTGGGGGGCGTCAGTGTTTAACGGGGTAGAGTCTCGGGTCGGGAGTGAGAGGGTTCTGGAGGCAGGCGGTGGGGACGGGTGCACGACAGTGTGTGCACGTTAACTGTGGTGAAGACAGTAAATCCACAACTAAAAAGGGGGCTAAAAATAAGCCGACTGAGCTAGAGAAGAGAGCTGCCCTCTGAGTTTCCTTCTGTCCCAAACTCCGAGACCAGCTCTTGGGAACCCCTGCCCAGCCTGTGTCTCTAGAAACTCCCTTTCGGCAGTTCTGGCCCATCACGAAGCAGCATTTTAGGGGGGCGGGGGGCGGGCCTAGGAATGAGAGCCGGGAGTCCGAGCTGGTCTTCACTCGGCCTGCTGAGAGGCTGAGGGCACTGCCCAGTGCGCCAGCTGAGCGCCGAGTCACTCACGTGTTAACTCGTAGGTCGTCTCGGTGGAGCTGCTGTTGACGGTCTTGAAGCTGCTCTGGGCTGTGAGGGGCGAGCAGACAGGCTGTCAGCGCAGGGGACCGCTGGCGCCAGGGGGAGCCGCAGACGCGGGGTTGGGGGAGGCCTGGCCGGGAAGCCGCTCCACCTCCCGAGCAGTGGGCCACCACCCGCCCGTCTGCTCACCGGGACCCTTGCGAAGCCTCCTGAACCAGCCAGGCCCCCAGCCCACGAGGGGGAGGGGGGTCTCTCCTCTGATTAAACGGGTCGAATTGGCATCGGGCACAGGGGACCGCAGGGCCTGGCTGGTCCCGGGGCAGCCGTGTCCGGTTCCCTGTGCTCAGGTGAGCGCCCCAGGCCGGCGGGGATGACCAGAGGACAGACAGTGAGCAGGAGCACAGACCCCGTGCCCCCTTATTCCAGGGGCTGCATGACTCAGCCCAGAGGGACAGGCCCAGCTAGCTGGGCTTCGGCAAGGGGCACCTGGGGAGACGCTGCGAGTGGGGGTCTCGGCGGAGCCAGGTCCTCCCCCGGTGGGGTCGGGGCCGAGCTGCAGCCCCTTGCTGACCCCGGCGGGGCGCCGGGGGCTGAGTGCAGTGCGTGTGACCCACATGGACAGGCCCAGGCAGAGCCGGACCTGGTGCCCTGGGCGCCCTGCCCCCGCCCCCAGCACTCGGGTGCCAGGGGCTCAGGTGTCTTCTCTGACGGTGCTGGGGGGCATCTCTCGGCCTTCCCCCAAGGGAGCAGGAGTGGAGAGTGGCTCGGGGTGGATGAGCAGGAGAGGGAGGTCGGGGCTCCATGGGCCCCAGCACCCCCAGGCCTGCTCCACGTGGGGCGGCACCGCTGACCCCAGAGGCCCAGCTACTCCCCCTCCAGGGCACACAGGCCCCCACGGCTCAGCCCCCACCCTGGCCGGCTGACGCCTGCCTCCCCTCACCGAGCTGTGCCGGGCCCTGCGTCACCCTCTTCCCCTCACGTCCTCGGTGACATACTTTTACCCCGAACCCCCTCAGATGGCTCCTCCTCCAGGCAGCCTTCCTGGGTCCCCTTGCTGAGCCCTGGACCTTGCACACCACTGGGGTGCTGGGGAGGGGGCAGAGCCGCACCCCTTCCGGCCCCCCAGCAGGCCTGGGGTGGGCAGACACGGCGGTTACGGGAACCTCCCTGCCGTGGGCTGGGGGGCAGGGGACTCACTCGTGAGCTCGGCCCGCAGAGCGGAGGGCGTCTTGAGCGTCTTGGACTCGGTGACGGGGGCCGCCTCGTACTCCAGCTCGCGGTAGTACGCACCCCTTCCGGCCCCCCAGCAGGCCTGGGGTGGGCAGACACGGTGGTTACGGGAACCTCCCTGCCGTGGGCTGGGGGGCAGGGGACTCACCCGTGAGCTCGGCCCGCAGAGCGGAGGGCGTCTTGAGCGTCTTGGACTCGGTGACGGGGGCCGCCTCGTACTCCAGCTCGCGGTAGTAGATCCGGTAACCCCGCAGGAGGCCGTTCAGGCTCTCGTCCCTCGGGGGCTGCAAAGACACCACGGTCAGGCCGTGTGGGAAGGCGGGGGGTCGCTGGTTCAAGACAATCGGAGGGGCCTCGGTTGTTGGCAAGAGGACAAGCAGGTGTCCCACTGATGATGAGGAATGAGGGGGTCCGGGGACAGAACCCAGGCCTCCTGGTCCTGCGTGCGTGGACACGGGCGTGTCTCCCTGTCCAGCCAGGACACCCGAGCCCCAGGGCCGAGGCTGGAGACTGTGGCCCAGGTCACAGATGGAGAGGAAGCTGCCTGTTCCCGGCAGACCCAGAACCGAAGGGGGCCGCGGATGCGGCCTGGCCCTGCGTCGTCCACCACTGGCCCCACCCCGTCCCTTCAGTCCCCGACCCTCCCGTGCACCCGGGCTTGTGGCCGTCTCGCTGGGACCCTCACTGACCCCTCTGCCTGCCAGGTGGCTCTCTCCCCGCCTGACAGGTGTAGGGCTGGAACACGCCCCCCACCACCCACTGCCACCTCAGCTGGTGTAAGAGTGTCTGATGGTGGGGCAGGGGCTCGTCTGACTCCTAAGAACCCAGCGGACGGTGGCAGGTGGCTGACAGGTGGCTGGGAGACGAGGTCGGATGGTGGGGGAGTCTGAGCCTGTGAGTGAGCCCAGGACCTTGCAACCGCTCCCCTCTGGGTACCAGTGCCGCTCAGGGAGGGCCCGGCCCGACTTCCCCTTTGACTGGTTTCTGCTGACAAGTAAGCCTGGGGAGGGTGTCCCCAGCTGGTGACAGGTCTGTCCGTGGAATGAAGGCCGTCCTGCTCCACGTGGAACCCCAGTAAGGCTGCGGCACTGACCCCGGTGCTGGGGGCTAGGGGCTCTGCTCCCCCCTCTAGGGTCCTCAGCAGGTCAGGACCGAACCTCCCAAACTGCAGCCGGACAGATGGACCTAGAGTGTCCTGGTGCCCGAGCGGACACCACAGCTTCTGTAGGCAAGGCCCTCTGTGTGCGTTAAACTGTGCTCCCCCAGGAGACATGCTGAGTCCTAACCGCCAGTCCCCGCAATGTGACTTCGTCCGGATTCAGGTCTCTGCAGAAGTAATCAAGTTGGGAAGAGGGCACGGGTGGAGGGGAGCACTCTAAGGTGATGGCGGGCTTCCCGGAGGGTAGTTCCGTTCTATTTGCCCAGGTCTTTAACGCAGAATCACACTCCAGAAACTGACCCCACATGGACACTCAGATGTGCGCCGTCCTGAGATCTACAAACGAGCTTGGGACTAACTCTCCCCCACCCCTCGAAACGCCAAGACCAATCCTCTGTGGGTCTTTTCAATGCCACCAAGACAACAGGATGGCCTTCGAGCTTGAAGGGCGCGGACAGTAAGATTGCCTGCAAACAAATCGGCAGACTTGGGACTCGTGAACACCACCGGGTAATAAGATAATTGATTCACACAGGCAGCTAGATGTTCAGCGCGACGGATCGTGAAGACAAAGCACATTTTAAGAGGCAATATAGAATCTAGCAATTATTGAACAAATGCTGAGACTAGAAAAAGACCCGAAGAGTCTTATAAGATGAGGACATTTTGACACAGAAAGAATGTCACACGAAGGCAGAGGTTGAGACTGACAGAAGCGTCTAGAAGCCAAGGAGTGGTAAGGCCTGCCACGGCCGCCACAGGCCAGAAAGAGGCAGGCGGGCAGCAGGCTTCCCTGTGTCTGCAGAGCCGGCCACCACCCTGACCCTGGACTCTGGCCTTCGGAACTGTGGGAGGACAGGGTGACTGGTTCCAGGCGCCCTGCTGTCCAAACTCATACCCTTCAATTCCCAGTCCCTGAATCCAGGCGGCACCGCAGGGACCGGATGTTCAGGTGAGTCTGTTCTCCGTGACCTCTGGCTGCTCTCAGTCCCAAACTCGGGACCCCCGCGGGAGGGGACAGCTCTGCCCTCACACTCGCCAGTGGGCAATGCACACAGCGAGGGCGCTTCCTCCCACGCCCACACACACTCGTGCACGGGCCGGAACCATCACGTTTTCACCAACGAGAGCCCAGGGGTTTGCAGGCCGCAGCCCCCGACATGCTCTCCCACCACTTCCTGAGTCCTCTGCCCACCCCCTGCCCCCCCACTGAAAGTGCCGTGGCTGGTCATTCTTCCCATCAGACATAGACACTCAAGCCTGGAAAACTGGAGTGGACTCTCCACGTCCTCAGGATCTAAGTGCGTCCCTCTGGTCAGAGGAGCCCAGGAAGCCCAACAAGTCGACTGGACTGCTAAACATCACCTTCACAAACACTGAGAAACCAGACAGTCGTGTGAGCTGCTTTACTGCCAGATTCTCTCTCCTGTGCGGGTCTGCGACCAGAGCCCGATATTTCCAGGCTATCAGTGCTTGCTCCGCTTTCCTGACACCCACAGGTGGAGACATCTTTAAACTCACCTCATGGTTGTAGAATTAACAATATGAGAGTGAAGGTGGACCCGCTCAGACCCCCACGTCACCTGGATGGGGCAGGTGGGCGGGGCAGGTGACCGGCCGGGCACGCAGGGTCCCTGAGGCACATGCCGGTCCGGCTGGGCCCTGGGCTGAACCGTAACATGGACCACTTCCTCCAGCAGCGAGCCTGCTGCCCTCTGCCCCAACCCTTCCCAAAACAAGGCCTCCCAAAACGACCAGAGCACTAGGAACTCGGGGAGCTGTGTGCTCTCAGGAAGGGAGGTGAGAACAGGGGTGAAACCTGGGGGTCTGCCTGGGGTGGGGGGGCAGGAGAGAGGCTCTGTTTCTTGTTGCAGTTTCTATTTCATTCTGCCCTTTTCTTTCTTATAAATTTTGATGGACAGAACCTCCGTCCTCCATGCTGGAGATGCAGGGACACCCCTGAATAGGGGCACACCTGAGCATGCTTGGCGGTCCCTCTGCTTCCTGTCCAGCCCCAGCCCGGGGCTGCCACACCCTGAGGACGGCAGCATTTCAGATCCTCTGATACACTCTTTTTTTTTTAAGATCTGTCCCCTTTGAGTTCGTAGGGCTGGTTCAGATAGCTTTAAGGGTTTTGTTTTGCGTGACCCTCTCCTATTTAAAAATCGGTTCCATGAGGTAAAGGCAGGCACCATGCAGTGTTCACTACTAATCGATGCCACATGCAAATCGCGCGTGTGTGTGTGCGTGTGCGTGCAATGCACACACGCGCATCTCCTCATAAGGACGGAAGCCACAGTCTGCCACTCCAACTCTAGTCCTGGTTTTCTTACTGGCTACAGCTGAGGCAAGTTACAGTCCTCATTCCTAGGCTTCCTTCAAGCACAACTATCACAACACGTTAAGAGAAAGTTTATTTCACCCCCTTCTTAAAAAAATACGACAGATGGAAGAATTGGAAAAGTCTACGCGTAATAAAAGGAGAGATGCTTCCCCACCTGACACCTAAGCTGTGCAGTGACACGCTCTCCACCGCCCTTCCCAAGTGAGGCCGAGTGATCGCAGGGCCTCTGACCCTCTGGGTCCCAGGCTGCCCACAGCTGTGACCCCTGAGGGAGGGGCCCCGCCCCCAAGTCCCCCTGCCGTGAAGGTGCCTGGCTGAGGCCCCCGGGGGGTCAGCGGAGCTCCTTGTTGCAGAGGGCCCTGCCTGCACCCCAGCCCTGCATCCCAGCCCTGCCTCTAGCACCGACCGGCTCCGCAGGTTGATAAGATGCCCTGAGCTATGACATAAGCGTCTGAAGTGCTTCACTTTCTGCAAATCAGAGGTTCCAGCACCCTGTCTGCAGGGGCCCGGGGTGTTTTTTCAGTTTTGGAAAAGGGATCTTTGTTAAAGTGCAGATGCCCTGGTCGGAGTGCACTGGCCTTGACCCCTCACTCCCGCAGGCAGGAAGAGGACCGAGAGCTGGGGCTCGAAGGACAACCCCCGTGAGCCTCAGCCCTGGCTGAGTGCCAGGGGACAGGCTGGGACCAGCTCAGCGGGCCTTCCCAGACAGGGCTGGCTGGGTGAGGGGACTCGGGGCTGGGGAGGGTCCACACGGGGTCCGGGGTCTCACAGTGAGCTGGAGGCAGAGCGGGACTTCCACTGCCATTGTCCTGGGGCCTGAGCCTGGGACTTCCCACCGCTTCTGTTCCCTGGAGCCCAGAGCGGGGGTTCCCTCTGACACCTGCTGGACTGAGTCTATGGTTCAGCGGGCACAGGCGGCCCTAGAGGACCAGATCCAGGCGCCTGCCCTTGAAGCCCAGCAGCGGTCACACCTGAGCCTGCGTTCCTGCGGATGTGCCACCCGGATAATGACCCTCCTGCCCCAACGGGTGGGGGGGGACCAGTCATCCTGTCACCTCCCACCTCTGGCTGCTCCCCTCCCGCCTTCGCACTGATGCGTGTGGAGTTCACGGCAGGGAATGGGGGCACTGGGTGCTCAGAGCTCGGGGCTGGAGCTGGTCCTCACAGACGACAGAGCAGGCGGTGAGAAAGCAACAAAGGCCAGGAGATGTCCCAGAGAGGCCGGGCCCGCTTGTCCCCTCTGACTGGGGGCTGCCCCACACTCTTAGGAAGGTGCCCTGCACAGCCGAGTCGCCCCTCCCCGAGTCCACTGCACATGATGCAATCTGTCCCTTAGGACGTTAACGTTGCTAGAAAACAGCCTCAAAATCCAATCAGAGAAAAGTTGGAAGAGGGGACCAGAGAGGAGATGCATGTGAGTCACAGACTGTGTGACCCGCTGGAGGTTTCAGAACAGCCAGCTTAAATGTGATCGATTCAGAGACATGAATGCCCAGTATGAGCTGTACTCAGTGTAAACACGGCACCACTGCTGTCTAGAATATACACACAAATCCTCAGGTTCCAGCAGCACTGGACCCAGGAAAGGCACAAGTGGATCATTCTACTCAGTTCAGTCGCTCAGTCATCTCCAACTCTCTGTGACCCCATGGACTGCAGCACGCCAGACTTCCCTGTCCATCACCATCTCCCGGAGCTTGCTCAAACTCATGTCCATCGAGTCAGTGATGCCATCCAACCATCTCATCCTCTGTTGTCCCCTTCTCCTCCTGCCCCCAATCTCTCCCAGCATCAGGGTCTTTTCAAATGAGTCAGTTCTTCGCATCAGGTGGCCAAAGTATTGGAGTTTCAGCTTCAACATCAGTCCCTCCAATGAATACCCAGGACTGATTTCCTTTAGGATGGACTGGTTGGATCTCCTTGTAGTCCAACGGACTCTCAAGAGTCTTCTCCATCACCACAGTTCAAAAGCATCAATTCTTCTGTGCTCAGCTCTCTTTATAGTCCAACTCTCACATCCATACATGACTACTGGAAAAATCACAGCTTTGACTAGATGGACTTTTGTCAGCAAAGTAATGTCTCTGCTTTTTAATATGCTGCCTAAGTTTGTCATAGCTTTTCTTCCAAGGAGTAAGCGTCTTTTAATTTCAAGGCTGCAGTCACCATCTGCAGTGATTTTTGGAGCACAAGAAAACAGTCTGTCACTGTTTCCATTGTTTCCCCATCTATTTGCCATGAAGCGATGGGATCGGATGGCATGATCTTAGTTTTCTGAATGTTGAGTTTTGAATGTTGACCATCCTACTAAGAGGAATCAAATCTGATGGACGGCACACTCAAGTGGGTCAGCGGCCTTGGGATTATAGGCAGTGCTTGAGGTTTTAAACAAATTACTAAAAAATAAAGATTTTCAGGTGAAGCGCTTGGTCCGGAATGCAGACCTATATTTAAACCTTGTCCCTGTGTTCTGTTGGCTCTGATTTAGTAAATTGCTCATAATTTTAATTATGCTTCAATCGCCTGGCAGTTGACAGGCATTTATTTCCACGATGCATCATGCTGACCACCCCCTGCTCAGGCATCTTGCAATGGGTTTGTCCTGCTGGGCTCTGAAGGGGGACAGCTGATGGACAGGCACGCCCAGCGCCTTCCGTGCCGCTCTCGCCGCCTCACAGGGTGTCTGGGACTAAGCGCTCGCAGCCCAGGGGTGGGAGGGCTGGGCTCACAGCCAGCGCCGAGTCCACAGCCGCATGTCGGGAGCGGCTGAGGTGCCACAGCTCCGAGCTCAGCTGGCGACAGGGCAGCCAGACCCACATCTGAGACCAAGCACGTACCCAGCAGACTTCAGCACCACCCGGACAACCATCTGCTCTTGGTCGATCGTGTCAGTGGACAGTGGAACCAGAAGTGCTTGGGACCTTGAGTTTCCACGTTGAATGTTCCCCACCTCCCACCAGAGACCCCGAGGGACGTCAGGGGTCTCACGGGCCTTGGATCAGGGACCTCACAGTGGCCTCAGAGGGGACCTTGGAACCGCTGTTTTTACAGAGGAGGAACCTGGGGCCAGAGAGGCCTCTGGGGTCAGAGTCTTGCTATGGCAAACTGGCCTGCAGGCCGAGGCCAGGCCCTGTCCCTCTCCCAGGGTCTCAAGGGCCACTCAGCTGTGGCTCTCCCGAGACAGCTGCTAGAACCCAGCTGAAGCCTCCTGGGTCCCCATCCAGTCTCAGCACTCTGGGGAGGCTGGAAAGGGTGAAATGCCACAGCGATGAGCTCCCAGTTCACCGGAGGACACTTGGAAATGTCTTTTGTTCACAATGAAAGGTTGCTGCTACCCCGAGGAGCTGCCACTTATCAACAGAGAAGAGGGGAAATGGCCTGGGATGACTCGGCCACCAGGTGGGCTGTGCGCTGGGCCCACCTGGCCGTCCTGCTGACCACACCGCCCACCCTCCCATCAACACATGAGCTCCGGTTCACTCTGCAGGTCGCCACGGCCCCGGACTTCCCACCTGGCAGGTCACGCTCACACCACGGCCCTGGACTTCCCGCCTGGGAGGTCACGCTCACACCACGGCCCCGGACTTCCCGCCTGGGAGGTCACGCTCACACCACAGCCCTGCACGGTGCACCAGCCGGCCTCGCCAGCCTGACCCACGGTCGGGGTTGGGGTGCCCGCCGAGCTCACTCCTGCAGGAGCGGGGTTCACAGAGCACCGTGGGGTCCCTGGGCCTTACCTGCCACTGGATCAGAATAGACGAGGTGGTGCGTGGCGTCACGGACACGGAGCGTGGGGGCTCCCCGGGGACTGGAAGCAAGAGGGAAGCAGGCAGGGGTTAGACATCGAGCTCGGGCCAGCACTCCGGGCCGGTCCCCGCCCACTCTCAACCAGCCAGCACGTGACTCCCTCCTCCCTGGGGTCGCCCTTCCCCTGCCCGCCAGCCTGTGTCCAGGAGAGAGGGACCTCATCCTGGACCACCTCCGCGACCTCACTTCCCACGGACCCACCCCACTGGACGCACACAGAGTCTGGGTCTCTCCAAAGCCAAGGCTCCCGGAGTGCTCCTGCCGTTCCCTGATCTCCTCGGGGGTCACCCCCCAGAGGAGGAGGGGCATCATTCTCTTGGGGTACGTGTCGGTTTGACCCCGCCCTGCTCTCTGGAGTGTCCATCATGCCCAGCAGGCCGTGCCCCACCCTCCACCATGCGCCGGGCCTGGGCCACCTTCTCCCAGCAGATGGACTGGCCTTCTCAGGGCGGCCCCACCATGACATCCTGAGACCCAACACAGAGTCAGTGTTCAGAAACAGGCCCTGAGCAGGAGGATTTAGGGCTTCTCCCCACCTGCCTCGCCTGTGTGTCCGGCACCCCCAGCCTGCTCCCCACTCTGACTCAGCTGCTCTGAGCGACCCCTGCACCCCGCAGGCCTCCCTGTCCTCTGGGCCCAGACTGGGACAGGCCCATGTTGGCCACACTCCAGGCCCCCCGCCCCAGGGACCGCTCTCTACGCTGCCCCTTCGGTCTCTGGCTGCTCCAGCTTAAGGCCCTGACCCAGCGTTCCTACCCACGTCCGGTGGCTCCGTACCCTCAGGATAAGAAACCCTTTCCCGGCAAACCGTCCGTGTGCTCCCAAGCCCCTCCCCCAGCACTGGCCCCCAGCCCTGGGGTCAGCCTGGCCTGTCCATCTCCCCTGAGAGCTGGACTTAGAGACACAGGATGAAAACACAAGGCCGATCCACTGCAAAGAGAAACTGCAGAAAGGACAAGGAAGAGGTGATTTGAATGTGAAAGGGCTGAGACAGGCCCCTTCTGACGGAGCCTGAGAGCAGGAGCGGGTGTGTGCCCCTCTCCCACGGACCAGGGGCTGGGTTCCTTCCTTCTAAGAACTAGTGCTCAGGCAAGGTGCTAACGCAGGAATACGCAGGTGCCACAGGGGACAAGCGCCGCTTCTCCAGCGCCGGGGCCGCCATTCCTCCCCGTGTTAAGCGGGGAAGGGGGAGCTCGGGGTGAGCCTGGGGATCGTCACAAAGCACCGCCCGGTGAGCTGAGGGTCCGGTCTGCCCGCCGTCCGGGCTCGAGGCTCGGCGGCGTCACGCAGCAGCCGTACTCTGTCCCCAGCACCTGCCGGTGCGCCAGGTGGGCCTGAGGACCCCGCCTCCCTGTCCTTCTGGGCCTGGTCTCACTGCCGATGGTCAAACAAACTCACGAGGGAACTTCAGGCCCAACTCCTCTGAGCAGAGCTGAGCGGGGTGGGGGGAAAGCAACCGGAACCTTCAAGGGGGCCCCCCGCCAACAACCCCCCTTCGTGCATTTGTCAGGCAGCAAAACCAGGATGGCTCGTGAATGAGAAAAATGGGGAAAAGCTCTTATAACCCAGCTACCCCACGGCATCTATCTTTAATGACCCTATAAATTATTCAATGTCAGGGATGCTAATGGATCGTTGGGTTTGGAAGCCAATCAAAGAAACGTCCCTCGGTTTGGAAGCCCTTGAAGTCTGATTTACGGCTCTGGGCTGTGCAGGGGCGCTGGCTTCTGCTGCTAATTGAATCCCACCGCCCGTGGCTGCTCCCCCCACTCCCTTGGGTGACCCCTTTCTGGGTCAAGGGGGGAGCAGGCCTCTCCAGGAGCCCAGGTTTCGGGGTGCACAGGCAGCAGCGGGAAGTGGGCCCCGTTGCTCACCATCCTGCAGCGTGGTCACTGCCTCCGTCTCAGCGCTGAAGTCGCTGTCCCCAATGTCATTGGTGGCCTTCAGACGCAGCTTGTAGGACGTGAAGGGCCTCAGCCTGAAATGGAAGAGACCTGCGACTGCAGAGCCCCTCCCCTGCCGGGGGGCCCCCCAGGAGGGGGTGCTCTGCGGCTGCATCCCCCAGGCGGCAGTGAGCTGGCCCGGGACGGCTGGGGAGCAGCCCCCAGCCCCCAGCACCGACTCAACCATCAGTCTAGGGAGACAGGAGATTCAGAGAGGGGTGGGAGGGGGCACAGAACTCCCGGTGGGGATGGAGCTTAGGCTCAGGGATCCTGGGGGAGGAAGCCACCTCCTATAATTAGAGACTCACGCATGCACAAATCGATGCTCTCCAAGGAGCTGGAGGATTCCTCCAGAGGCGCTAATTACCTCGGAGCTCCTGCCGGCTTCTCTCCCGCTCCCCCAAGGCCCCCCCTGCAGTGACCCGGGGCTCTAGGCTCTGCCCCTGCCTCCTCCCTCCCTGACTGAGCCAGCCGGGGTACCGAGCCCTTGACCCATGTGACCCCCTATAACGGGGTGGAGCCGTCGGGATTCCCAGGTCTCTAGGAGGGGACGGAGGCCCCTGCCCTCTGCAAAGACTGGTCAATGGCTGGGGTGGGAAGACGAGTGTCCCTTTATACAACCCTAAGTAAGGCCAAGACGACGTCGACTGCCCACGGGAAACGATGTCTCCCCCAGCCCACGGATGAGATTTCAGGGACACGAATGCACTTCGTGGCCCCACTGCTTCAGGCTTCCTCTTTCCCTTCCATCCTCCATCCACCCACCCAAATGGTCCGGATCCACGGGGTCTCATGTGCCCAGCGAGGTGCACGCTGACAACGAAGGCTTCAGACAGACGCGCCTGTGCTGACGACCCGCAAACCTGCACCAAGTCCCCGGGGACACTTCCTGCTCTCCCCACTCAGCACCGGCTGCTTCTCCTGCTCACAGGGAGCAGACGAGGACCCCACCTGCCCCTTCCCTCTGCCTCAGGCGGTGGCCCCGTCATCCTCTCTGTTTCTTGGACCCGAACATTCCAGGTCATTCTAGGTGCTCCCTCCCCGTCCCTTAATCCAGACCAGCTCCAGGTTTCCTCACCTCGGTCCAAGCACAGCCCTCCTGCCTCAAACCAACCCTGCCTTCTCGCTTCCTATCTAACCTATAAACCAGTGGTTTTCAAACTGAGGACCAAGGAACCCCTGAAACTCTAAGTAACCCTCTGGGCATCCAGGGCCTCTGCTCCCCCTGCATCAACCAACAGCAGCTCCTCGTCCATCTGGCTGGTGACCACTTCTGGAAACACTTCATTTAGAGAAAGGATTCTGCTATCTTGAAACACCGAGGACCGTTTTTGGAAGCTGTGATCAGACAGCTTTCCTCTCCCTCTGTTTTCATATCTTCTCCTGCGTGAGACCTCCTGCGTGAAATCTACGCCTGCGTGAGACCTCCTGTGGCAGCTCTCCGTGAGCTCACAGTTGCAGGGACGCCCTTGCACCAGTGGCCGGGCCTGGCACCAGGCGGTGATGAGTGAATGCTTGCTGGAGGAACGAACGCAGGGGGACGTTATCTGCCCCGGAAGTTACTCGGGAGGATTGCAAAGGGGACACGTGAAAGTCAGCGCAGGCTGGGACGTGGTGGGGGCCACGGAAGGACCCTTGTGTTCAGACGCAGCACTTCGATCACCTGTGCGTGCGTGCTGTGCCGCTCAGCTGAGCCGGACTCTTGGGGACCCCGTGGACTGTATCTAGGGCACTGCTATTTGGAACACGGTAGTGCCTGTGGCTTACTGTTCTCTAAGGATTTGGGGAACTGAGGCCAAAGATCAAGCTCTTTGAAGACCACCCTTTCTTTTTTGACCTCTGAGGTCTCAGGGAGTCGGGGGCAGTGAAGGATGACCTGATGGCTGGACGAGTGGGCCCGGGTCTGAGACAGACAGGCTGGGGCCAGGGGACTGGGAGTCAGAGCTCCTGGCCTCGCCCCACGCTGAGCAGGCTTCCTGCCTCCAGAGGAGCCACGAGTGTCCCTGGGGTCACTGAGCCGCAGGTCTCCCTGTCTCAGCAGGAAAGCCCTGCTCGGAGCCTGGAACTGGGCACAGAGCGACTCGGAAGCCTGCTGCCCTGGAGAGGCGGCCATGGCTACCAAGCCTGGCCTCTGTCCGCTGCTGGCTCCTCCGGACGATTGGTCTACCCGAGGCCCCAGCACTTGTCCTTGTCACCACCTCCCCTCGCTCCCGCCGCGCTCCCTGCTGAGTAGAACAAAACTCTCAGGACCACTTGGAAAACGGAGGAGGAACAAACCCTCCGATTTCCCGCAGCTCTGCTCTGTTCACTCCCCCAGACGCCCTCCAGCCTCGGCTTTGAAGAGGGCCAAGCGGGAATTCTGATTCTGGCTCCACCTCTCCTAACTGGGGCAGCTCGTTTAATTTCTCTGGAGTCTCACTTGGCTCATCTATGGAAACGGAGGCGATGGTACCTCCACTTCCAGAGGAAATTCTACTGCACAGCCTGCCTCGAGGAGGCTGGTCACACAGCAGGTGCCTAATAAACGTTCCTTTCTCTTTCCCGTCTCGGTCTCCCCACAGGCTGCTGGAGAGGGCACATTCAGAGGCGCAGCAAGGCCCACGGTCGCTGGGAGCGACAGCTGCCGCCGGAGCCCAGGCCGTCACCGCCCTGTCCCGAGGGACACCCATGACGTCCACGTGCTGTGTCCCCAGGGCCCTTCTCCTCACTGAGTTACATTTCCATGGGAAGCGACTATCCCAGAAGCGGTGACACTGAGATCCGTCCCCNTGGGAAGCGACTATCCCAGAAGCGGTGACACTGAGATCCGTCCCCAGACCCAAGTCTCCCCCAGTGCTCCAGACCTACCGTCACCAGGTACAGGCACGCGGCTTAGGTGGTTAAACTTTCTGTTTTAAGCTTCTGTTTACATGTTTTATGACTTTTGGCCACTAGCGGACTTCACGCAACTGGCATCAGTAAGAAATGTAAAATGGGTGTTTAAAGAAAAGGAAGAAGAAGCTGCCGGGACCCTGAGGAGGAGGGAAGATCACACGGTGGTACGGAATACTCCTTCCCCGGGGTTCTGCCCGTGACATGCTTCCAGCTGATGGGGAGGAAGTGTGTGTCCCGGTTCCGGCCCGTCAGGAAGCTGGCAACACTCTCTCCCACCAGGTTTACCCGTCGGGCCTGACACTCAGACCTCTCCTTTCCCACGGGGAGCCCCCAGCAGACCACTGCTCTGATTCCAGGAGGTTCCATGACAGGAGGGGTGGCCGGGTTTTATGGTCCTTCTTTCTGACGGTTACACAAGGCGGTGGCGCTGTTTACATCCAGCGGCACATCCTAATAAGGCTGAACGCCCCGGGCATTGGAGTGCGGTATGCCAGGTGAGCAGGGCTCCTCGGACCTGGAGGGGGGGGTCCCCTTCTCCTTCAGCCCCGTGCTGGCGGTCACGTGTGGGAAAGCGACAGGGCCACACTCCAGGCCTGGCCTGGTTCCCACACCGCCCCTTCAGTGGGCTCAGCCGGGCTCTGACAGGCGGCCTGCCGAGGGGAAGGGGGAGGCCACGTGTGCCCCTCGCTGGGGGGGCTGCAGGCGACGGCTGACCTCTGACCCTGTTCCCCCCCCACCCCCCGCTGAGATGTGTCAGGATTCATTGAGCAGCTGGACGGGGATGTAACAGAGCGCCCAGCACGGGGCTCTCGGGAGCTGGGAGAGGAGCGGCGGTCAGCTAGACAAGCACCGTCTGGGCTGCCTCCGCCCTCCTAGGAGGTCCTGGCGAGGGCTCTAGACCCACGAAGACAGGGGTACCCGCTGCCGGGCACCCTGGAGTGTGAGTCTGTGGGGAGAGGCGCAGTCGGGGCGGAGGGGAAGGACAGAGGTGATGCCGGGTGTCTCCCCGGGCCGCCCTGGACCACCGCCAACCCCACCGCCCACGGCGTCTGTCCGGGTGGACGGTCACTCCCCAGGCCTGCCCATCTAGACAATTCTATCTGGATGAACCTGGCAGGCGACTTAACACCCCCCAGCCCTCACCTCCTCCACCATGAAGCAGGTGCAGCCCAGATAAGAGGCCCAGGTGGGATCAGGACAAAGCAAGTCCAGGGCCTTCCCCCACCCAGCAGTCACCAGACAGCCAGCCTGGGGGGCGGGGAGCCCTGTTCCTGCTGCTGGCCATCACTGCGGCACCACGGATGGCAGCAGGTAGAAGACGTGTGCCTTGCTGGCCCGGGGCCGGAGCATGGAGGAGGGTCGTCTCCCTGACTGTGACCTGGGCCTGCGACATGGTGCCAGGGTCAGGCTGGGCCGCCATCTGCCTCAGGGGCTGGGCAGCCCCGTCAGCCCTGGGGCTCGGGGGCAGTGGGGAGGGACAGAGCTCAGAAGGACAGGCAGGAAGAGGCCGGGGTGGGCCTTGGGACTCCCGGGTCCCAGCACAGGAGGGCTGGCCAAGGGGCAGACGCGGGCTCGCAGTGTGGGTCTCCCTGCTGGGAAGGCGGGAGCTGGCAGGGGGCGCGCGGGAAGGGCCCCCAGGGGCGGGGCAGGGCCTTCCCCACCCTCTTGTACCTTTCGACAACATAGGCCGTGGCCTCGTGGCTGATGGACGAGGAGTAGGTCTGCCACTGGCCCCCGGGGAGCTCACGCAGCTGCACCGTGAAGTACCGGATCGGGGAGGCACCGTCGCTGCCGGGCACCCACCGCAGACACAGGCTGCGCGCCGTCACGTCGGCCTGGGGCACCTGGAGTTCCCTGGGGGGCGCGGGCCGCTCTGCGGCCGAGAGAGGACAGCAGGTCAGGGTCGGGGGCACCCCGAGAGGCCCCGGGGCGCTGGCTGCCTAGCTCAGATGGCCGGTGGGCTGGGTGGTCATCTACAGTGATGTGAGGGTCCCAGACTCTGGTCGGACCTGACTGGAGACCCCCGTTTAGTCCCAGAAAGCTCCACCCTCAGAGCAGAAGCAGGCAGACTGGGGATGGGCCCATCCACACTCCCCGTGGGCACGCGGGTGCAGGCATCCTGAGCGACACCTGGGCGCTCCCAGCACCCCCAAGTTCCTCCAGATACTCTCCCTCTTTCTGACTTTGGGTCAGCGCCTCTTTAACACTGGTTTGCTCTCCCTGGACGCTGACCTGGGCCTGAGCCCATAAAGGTTGTGGAGCGGGCTGCCTGGGGGCGACTCTGAGCCTCTGGGGTAGGGACTGGGATGCGGGAAGCAGGGCCGGGACCTGTTTCTGCGTGGGGGTAACTCGCAGGTCACCCGGTGTCCTCACACCATCCACGTCAACAGAGAAGCCCCACGGGGCAGGAATAACTGCTGAACTGTGCATCCTGACGAGTGCGGGTTCTGGCCAGGATGTGCGGGGTGAAATGACGCTGCAGCTGATTGCTGGCCCCATGGGGGTGGCCGCGAGGGGCCCGGAGCTAACTCCCCTCCCTGCGGCCCACGCTGCGGCCTGAGAGCCCAAGGCCAGCCCCCTCCTGGGCCCACGGGAAGGGGCCTGGCTCTCCTGGGCCCCACGCTGAGCCACGGGGGCTGCGGGATGGGGGGCTGCAGGGAGGCAGGGGCACTTGGGGGCTGGGGGCGGGGAACAGGGTTGCTCTCGATGGAGTTCACATCTGAATCTCCTCTCAGACTCAGTTTAAGTCACATCAAACCTTGAGCAAACCTGTTTCCTGCTCCCTCGGCAGGGGCTGCGTGGACTCTGAGTAGGAAGGCAAGAATCGGGGCCTGGGGCTCTCGGTCCCCTTGTGGTGGGTGGGGGCCACTCAGCCCTGCAGCTCCTGGCTCCCCGACTCTGGCAGTACGGCCTACCTGCTTCCCGGGGGAGGAGCTGGCAAGGGGCTCTGGCACCTCTGGTGGGAAGGAGGGGAGAAGGGGAAGGGGGAAGAGGGGCAGTCTCTCTCCTTGAACCCCAGATGATCAGGGCTGAGGATGCAGGCCTATGGCGAGTGTCAGGCTGTGTGGACCAGCTCTGTGTCTGGCTCCAGGAAGGACTCAGGAGGTGCTTAATAAACTCGCAGTTCACGCAGCCACCCCCGACCCCCAGCCCAGGCACACCGGGCCTCTCCCCGCAACTGGCTGACACTGAGTCTGGCCTCCGGGTCTCACCTCTCTTCTCGGTGGTGATGACCGTGGCCTCCAGCGGCTCCCCCCAGCCCTGCCTGGTCTTGGCCGACAGCCGGAAGATGTACGCGGACTCTGGGGCCAGCTCGGTGGCCGTGAACTGCCTTACTGTGGCACCGACCTCCACGGTGGTGAAGGTGTTGGGGCTGCTGCTGGCCAGGCGGTAGGCGATCTGGTAGCCTGGGGGGGTGGGGCGGGGCACGAAGACCACTGGTCAGCCGTCCCTCCCCCACAGGGAAGCCCCAAGCCCCCACCCGGCACATGCTTCTGAGCCCTGGGTTTCTGCTCTGTCTCCCTTTCCCGGGCTGGTGTCTGAGCTGCAGGCCGGGCCCTGAGAGGGAAGCCAGGCCCAGGGATGAAGGGGGCCTCGGGGTGCTAGGCCCCCTCTCCATCCTTCGCGGAACTCAGCGTGAGCACAGCCTCCTCCTCCCTGTGGCCCCCGGCCTGGAGGACGCTCGGGAGCAGCCCAGAGGGCAGGTGCCTTCTCTGCCCTCCGCCCCCACCTTCTAGCAGCTCTGCCCTCGGCCCTCACGGGTCTCCCGGCCTGGAGCGCCCTTCTCCCTGGAGCAGGCAGCCCTGGAGGCACTCACGTCTGTGCTCAGACCCTGTGTGCCTGCTGTTTGTCTGTCTGTCTGCATATCTGTCTTCCTCCTGCCAGCCCAGCGCTCCTGCTCCCCAGAAGCCCCACCCCCATGGCTCTGAGCGGGTGGGGTGGGGGGCTCCCCCAGAGACAGCACTCCCCGCTGTCAAGGAAGTGAGAGGAGGCTTGCACATCAGCTCCGGGCGGGCCCTCAGCTCAGACTGTCTCTCCGAGTGCCCTGATCATCAAGGGTCCATGGCTGCTCGATGTCATGCCATTAAGGACCAGGCCTCCCTGAAGACCAGGCCCTACCGGTCCCTCTGCCCGCGTCTACAGCGGCAGAGGACTTGCAGACCCAGCTCTGAGACACCTGGACATCCGGTGTCCGGAAAAAGAGGGTGACGTGGTCAGCGCACCCACCTGGGCGGAGCCCTCCCCCTGCAGGCCCGGCAGAGCACATCCCCCTGGGGGAGCGCCCGCCTCCCCCTTGCTCTCTCTCAGCCCCCCTTGCCGGTCACACTATCCGGATCAGCTACGTCATCGCTCTATTTCTCCCCATTATATTCTTCTGTATTAACCCCCAGCTCTGTCCCGAAGCTCACCCACTGCGACCACAGTGATGTAAACCCGCCTTCCTACACCAGCTCTAGCCTCAGGACTTCTACTCCAGCTTTCACGTGTTGTATTATTATTGGTATGTTGTCGGGATTTGCAAGGAGACTGTGGTGCAGGGTGGGGCCTGTGTTCAGCAGATTTCGAGGGGCGCCTGGGGGGGTTAGATGTGGCGGGGGCAGCACCATCCACTCGGGCATGTGGTTCATCCACAGAAGCTACAGCAGGTCTCACAGGGGACGGGGCCTCTATGACGGGACACAGCTGATGACCCCTGTGTCCACCCCCAGCCACCAGAGGAAAGTCAGCCTGTGCCCCTACGAAAGTAATTGAGCTACAGCAAGGAATTAAGGAAAGGTATTCTGCAAAGACAAACCAGACTTTACGACCAAGTGCAAAGACTACAGAGGCAGACACAGACCCCCAACAAGACCATGATCAAACATAATATTTTAAAGACCTCGAGAGAGAGGCTTGTCCCTGGGGTGAGTGAGCTTGGCCATTGAAGAAACACCACGCCTCGTGAAGAAGGGACTCCAGCCCTACCCTCTGCCCTCAGAGAGGCAGAAAGTAACTGCACTAGAAACAGGCGCGCGTAGGCACTTCCGGGCCCTGGGCCCTGCGTCTGAGCGCACTGATTTCTGGGTAGACTTGAGCCGACCGGGTTTCTTTTCCCGATTGTGAGAAGGCTGACTCCACCCGAGACGGCCGGGAGGAGCAGAAACACCTGCCCAGCACCTCCCAGGCACGGGGACCCCAGGGGACACGGCCGTGATGCTGACACGGGGCATCCAGGGGCGCCTCCACCCCTCACGGCGCCCACCAGCCGGCGGTCACAGGTCCCGCTGTGTCTCGGAGAGTCACGTGTGATGAAGACTCCTCGATCATTCAAACCGCCTTCTGCCTGGAGAGTCTGAATTAACGAGGATTCACATGTGGTTACTGATGCGCTTTTGTTACTGTTCGTTCTTGACCACGTTTCACCTCTGCTTAGATTATCTGCTGCTGGAGTTAAAAATCCTGGGGTGAAACTGAGATTTTTCTCAAAGGCACGTCTTTGTGGGCTGCCATCTGGGGATTCAACAGGAGCCACTAATTGCCTCCCGGGAGGGCTCAGGTCTGCCCTCCACCAAAGGCTCCACCCCTACTCCCGCCCTGCCCCTCAGAGCACGACCCCGGGGTGACCCTGGACCTCACCTCCACCTGCCTGTGTGGGCGCCTTCACACGGCCCCCGCTCACACCTTTTCCTCTGTCTCTTTTGGACTGATGGGGCATTTCTGCCTGGGCCCCGAGGGCTCCAGGAGACCCCAGAGAACCGCGGCAAACCTGGGCTAGTCTCTGATCCAGGTCACAAGGAGCGCCTGGGAGAAAATGCCTCAGCCCTGGACTCTAGGAGCACCTTCCTGTCCTTTGCCCCAGAAGAGAGACCAGGTCCCTGCGGTCCCATTTTGCGGTGCCGTGACCATGAGGATGAACGCCCCCGCCCACCTCGACACGGGCTCGACAGCAGGAGAGAGCCTTCTGCACAGGAGCAGCCAAGAGCAGTGGCCGAGCGCTGGCCCGCACGCTCGGGAACATGGATCGGGAGCGAGGCAGGACGGGGGTGTTTGGGAGGAAAAGGCTCCATATCTGAACCCGGGTACAGCAAGCTCAGAAACAGGAGCTGGGTCTCAGCTATGAGGTCAGAGGGTGTGGCTGCGCGAGGAAGGAACTCGGATCTGGGTCCCCGGCGGGAGGAGTGGGCTGCGGTGGAAGGCCCCGGGGGTCACGGGGGCATTCAGAGGGGCACGGCCACATGCGGCCCACGGGGATGCAGGGGGAAAGCGTCGGGCTGCAGAAGCCCGAGCAGCTCGAAGTCACTGGAAGATGAGGACGCGTCGCTCGCTAGAAAACCAGGAGGGAAACAGCCGGGCGCCACAGGCTGGAGGCGGGTTCCGGGCCATCCGCAGGGGAGGCCGGCGGGGTGGTAGGGAGAGTCAGAGAAGATGCAGCCAAGGATGGGGGGGCCTTTGCGGGGGGGTGGGGTGGGAGGCGTCTTGGCCAAAGGAGCTAACAGAGAGACCCCAGATCGACTCTGGAGAGTCGAGGGCAGACCTCCCAGGTGGTGGCAAGGCCTTCTAAGGACTGGGTGGTTCCTGGGTAGACAAACGGCGTACACTTGAGAGTTCTGTCCATTGTCTGTTTGGGGACCATCCTGGGGCCCCAAGGCCAAGGCTGCAAAGAGGGCACGGGGCTGCCGACCCCCTGGAAGGCACTGTGGGTGGCGACGGCCCCGCAGTGCCCACTCCTGACTCAGGGAACCCACGGTGGCTGAATCTCCCCGGGGGGCAAGCGTCAGCCTAGCTGGATGCCGCCTGGGTTGCTGGTTTCACTGTCTCTCCGTGTGAGGGTGGGGGGCAGACAAAGACAACAGTGGAGCAAACTATGCATTTGCTAACACCGATCCTATTCAGCTGAGCCCCTAATTCTCAGCAGAGTCCTGCACACCCTTGTTTGTAATAAGCCAAAGGTCAAGGTTCGGCCCCCACAGGCAGGCCGACTTCTAACCGCGTGGAGGTGGGGATCTGGCCTGTCTGGAGGGACAGACCCTTGTGGTCCGAGGAGCACACGCGTCACTCGAGCTTCGCAGCATCTGAGCGACTGTGAAGCAGCTGCAAATGGGGGGGGGGGACGACCGCTGTCGGGTGGCCCCCCCACACCCCTAAGGAAGGCTCTAAATGCTGCGAGCTCTCCCGGTAAAATATTTACGCAAATAAGCAAGTGTTTCTCCCTGTAGGCACCTCCAGTATTTCATGCTGTTAATCTCTTTCGGAAATGAAAGAACATGTTTTGATACAGATTACAAAAGCTCTCGCCGCGGAGATGTTTATGTGCTCAGAAGGCCAAGCCGCCAGAGTTGGGACGCCGACTCTAGGTCCCTGGACGTAAAGTGAGTCTTGAAAAAAGATGTTTTCCTTTCTCCCCTGTGAACACCAATCTGAATCTTTAGAAATTGTTTTCCCGTCTTTCTGCAGCATCTACAATTTGGTGCGCTGGCGGTAATAATATCCGGGTGACAGGTTACCCAGACAACGTTTGTTACAATTACCACCGCATGCCTCACAGCCTGAGAGGGCATCGGGGGAGGTGGAGGGGTGTGTTCCGCAGCCTCGGAGTCCGACCCCTCCTGACCTGGGGTTTTGTGATTTTCAAGGACCTCTGGGACTAGAGATCTACACCCAGACGTCTCAGTGCTTTGGGGGCGTCCTATAACCTGGCCCCAAGCTGCCTCTCAGCAGGAACCTTCCGCTGGAGCCGCCAGGGTGATGGAGAACGAAGCCCTGCACCACGCCTGTGACAGACACAGAGAAACGCGGAGTGCAGACACACAGCGACCGGGAGGAGACCGCTCTAGTCGGAGAGCAGGGAGGAGCTGCGGATGGGCCACAGCATCCAGCCGGCGCTGAGCGGCACTGGCTGTTCTGGGTTTTCGGTGCCCTGCACGATACCCGGGAGGTCTGATCACCGGTCCCCCTGAGGTGGGCAGCCTGGCCCAGAGGGGCTAAGTGAGCTACACCCCCCCGCCCCAGTCTGTCTGCAATGCCTGAGCGGGACCTCAGGCCGCCTTACTGAGGATCTGGGGGTACAAAGTAGGGGGGAGGCCAGTCACTCGAGAGCGAGGAACAGAGGGGCCCTGGTGGGCTCTGAACCCCGGCCACCGGGGCCTGTCCACATGCGGCTTTCACTACACTGATGTTCAGCTGCTCAGTCGTGTCCGACTCTTTGCGACTCCATGGACTGCAGCACGCCAGGCCTCCCTGTCCCTCACCATCTCCCGGGGTTTGCCCAAGTTCATATCTGTTGAATTGGTGATGCCATCCAACCATCTCATCCTCCGCTGCCCTCTTCTCCTTTTGCCTTCAATCTTTCCCAGCATCAGGGTCTTTCCCAGTGAGTCATCAGGTGGCCAAAGTATTGGAGCTTCAGCCTCACCACAGGTGGGTACCCATATATGACAACTGGTCGTGTCTGCAAAGTTTTCAAGGGTGCAGAGACATTTTCGAGCTGTGCGGATGCTTTTGCAACTTGTTTTTCCTGCAACAGATGTTTGTGAGGCTTTTTCACGGCACCTCCTGGAGCGCGCGGTCGTTACTTTAATGGTCTCTGTGATTTCTCTGTATGAACAGACCACGGTTCACCTTCTCATCGCCTCACTGATGGACATTTGGCTTGTGTCCAGTTGTCTCTTTTCTAAATTCCCTGTTATTTAAAGCAGTCTGCTGTGACTCTGTGCGTTTTGCCCTGCGAACCGGAGTGAGGATTTCTCAGAGTTAAGGCCTGGAGTGGGGCGGCTGGGTGGGGGGTGCACCCGCCCTGGTCTTCCCCTCAGCAGCTGCGCTTGGCTCCCGGGGAGAGCGCGTGAGGCTTCTCCCCGCCTCCTCACTTCTCCTGGGGACCATCAGACCTTCTGTGCTTCTGACGACTGTGACATGGTATCTAAATTATCTGCATTGTAGTCTGAATTATCATTGTACACGTTGCTTTCACAATCAGAAAAAGTTAAAGACCAGTAAAAGTAGGGGACATGATTCTCAAGTGAGCCGCTGAGCTTCTGTGGACGGGGGACTCCGGGCTCCTGGGGACGGGGGACTCGCGTGGCGACTGTGGGCGCAGGAGCTTTGGGAGCCAAGAGGAGAAGAGCCCAGCCCAGGAGGGGATGGGTGGGGAGGGGAGGCAGCAGGCGGAGGTGCCCTCTGATGTGGTTCTCGGGGGTGGAGAGAGGGGCCCTGGTGGGCTCTGAACCCCGGCCACCGGGGCCTGTCCACATGCGGCTTTCACTACACTGATGTTCAGCTGCTCAGTCGTGTCCGACTCTTTGCGACTCCATGGACTGCAGCACGCCAGGCCTCCCTGTCCCTCACCATCTCCCGGGGTTTGCCCAAGTTCATATCTGTTGAATTGGTGATGCCATCCAACCATCTCATCCTCCGCTGCCCTCTTCTCCTTTTGCCTTCAATCTTTCCCAGCATCAGGGTCTTTCCCAGTGAGTCATCAGGTGGCCAAAGTATTGGAGCTTCAGCCTCACCACAGGTGGGTACCCATATATGACAACTGGTCGTGTCTGCAAAGTTTTCAAGGGTGCAGAGACATTTTCGAGCTGTGCGGATGCTTTTGCAACTTGTTTTTCCTGCAACAGATGTTTGTGAGGCTTTTTCATGGCACCTCCTGGAGCGCGCGGTCGTTACTTTAATGGTCTCTGTGATTTCTCTGTATGAACAGACCACGGTTCACCTTCTCATTGCCTCACTGATGGACATTTAGCTTGTGTCCAGTTGTCTCTTTTCTAAATTCCCTGTTATTTAAAGCAGTCTGCCGTGACTCTCTTTGTGCGTTTTGCCCTGCGAACCGGAGTGAGGATTTCTCAGAGTTAAGGCCTGGAGTGGGGCGGCTGGGTGGGGGGTGCACCCGCCCTGGTCTTCCCCTCAGCAGCTGCGCTTGGCTCCCGGGGAGAGCGCGTGAGGCTTCTCCCCGCCTCCTCACTTCTCCTGGGGACCATCAGACCTTCTGTGCTTCTGACGACTGTGACATGGTATCTAAATTATCTGCATTGTAGTCTGAATTATCATTGTACACGTTGCTTTCACAATCAGAAAAAGTTAAAGACCAGTAAAAGTAGGGGACATGATTCTCAAGTGAGCCGCTGAGCTTCTGTGGACGGGGGACTCCGGGCTCCTGGGGACGGGGGACTCGCGTGGCGACTGTGGGCGCAGGAGCTTTGGGAGCCAAGAGGAGAAGAGCCCAGCCCAGGAGGGGATGGGTGGGGAGGGGAGGCAGCAGGCGGAGGTGCCCTCTGATGTGGTTCTCGGGGGTGGAGCGGCATCCGGGGACGGGGGTTTTTCCTGGCAGGGGACTCGGGAAGGGTCACCGCCCAGCGCTGGCTGAGGCCGCAGCCCCGCCGGGGTTTCAGAGAAGTCCTGGGAGAAGCAGCTCAAAGTCGCAGTCACAAAGCCGAGCACGTGTCTGTGTGCTAACACAGGGAAGGGCAGGCCTCCCTCTGCCCACTCCCGCGGAGCGCTGCTGTCAGAACCGATTTTCATCTGCCCGGGAGGGCTGCGGAGAGCGCGGAGATGATCACAGAACTGGGACCGCCAGGTCTCAGCCGAGGTGGTGTGTGTGTGTGTCTGTGTGTGTGTGTGTGTGTGGGGGGGGGGGGGGGGGGGGGGGACCCCTGAGGGGGCCGGGCAGGGGGACTTCACATCTCCGCTCCGAACATGCGTCTTGTTCCTCAGCACGCTGGGGCTCCCCTCTCGGGGAGTGGGCGGCGATCAGGCGGTTTGTCCTGCTGCTTCCATAACAGGCTGCAGAGAGGAGGGCAGCCCTGCCCGCGTGTGGGCTCCGGGCACCTCGAGAGCAGCGTCAGCTCCACAGACCACGCCCGCCCTGGGGCCTGAGACCAGCTGGCCGGGGCTTCTTAGCTGCACGGGGTCTGAGACGCACAGTGCAGCAGAGGCTCCTCCGTGACGGCTGTGGTTTCAGTGGCCAAACGTCCAGGTCCTTGGTGGCCTGGCTCGGGAGCGCCGTCCTCACACAGCAGCGGCTCCCGGGCCGCAGGGGACAGGGCCGGGCCGTGCAGATGGCGAGCATGCCCCGGGCCTGTCTTAATGAAGCCGGGGCTCGCCCGTATCTGCCTCGCTGCTCGCCCTTTCACGGCTGCCAGTTATTGTCCAGAAGACAAATCTGATCATGTCCCTTCGCTGCTCAAGGTCCTTGGCAGACTCCCTTGGCATAGATTTTCAAACTTTTTTTTTTTAAATGAAGTGAAACCCTTTTTCAAACAAAATCTTAAAATCCTCACCTGGAGAGCAGGTGTAAGTGGTACATTTTACTGCCATTTGTAAGCTGTGTTTAGGGTGTGACTGTCAAATTACCTGCAACCCGAGCAGACGTATTTGGGGTCTGAGGTGGGTGAGGAGGAGGAAGGACCATACTTCAAGGCTGGCCTGGCCCCAGGGGACACACCGGGCCCCCGAAGGCCCAGGTGGGAAGGTCTGGGCCGCTGGCCCCTCCTGCACGTGACGCGACACCTTCCCAGCGGTTCATAGTCCAGCTGGCCCACACCCCCCAGGGATGTTTATGCTCCCACAGGCGGACGGCAGCGTTTGGTTCAAGACTCGGGAAACCACCCATGTGACGGAGCAGACCCTCTGGGTCTTCCTGGGACAGCCCCCTCCCCGTATCCTGGGCTGGGGCCCCTCTCTGAAGCACCCGGGAACAGTGTGCGCTGCCCCTCAGCTGTCCCACAGACGCTGAGACCCCCACCGCAGGAGAGCCGTTGACTGCAGGACGACCTTGAGCACTCAGCCCCCAGGTCTGCGGAGCCTGAGGAGTGCTGGGCTAACCCCTGTGGCCCCGCCTGTTGCCTCACTGTCCGCCAGCCACAGTACAGTGCACGCTGATCACAACCCCCACCTGGCCTTTAAAAGCGCTTTGCTGAAACCCTGGGGAGTCGGGGCATTTTGAGCACCAGCTGCCCTGATGCCTTGCTTGTCCCCTGGCAGTAAACGCTGCACTTGCCTTCTCCACGGCCTGGTGTCAGATTGGCTTTACCGCCTGCGGGCGAGCAGACCCAATATTTGGTTTACCAACATTCATCCTCAAGTTCCAGGCTGAAAACACGGTCCAGCCCTGAGCCCCTGATCCAGGAGACGCCGCCCTGCAGGGCATTCTGTGGAACCTCCCCACATCGAGGGCTTCCCGGGTGGCTGAGTGCTAAAGAACCTGCCTGCCAATGCAGGAGATGCAGGAGAAGCAGGCTCAGTCCCTGGGTCGGGAAGATCCCCTGGAGGAGGAAAGGGCAACCCATGCCAGTCTGCCTGCCTGGAGAATCCCATGGACAGAGGAGCCTGGCGGGCCACAGTCCATGCGGTTGCAGAGTCGGACGTGAAGGAGGGACTGAGCGCGCACACACCCCGCATCGGGACCGTGCAGTCCTGTCGCTGGTGTCTCCTCTTTGAGGACCTGCCCTGCCAGTGTCTCGCTCACTCCTCACCCCCCTCCCCTCCGCCCTCCTCTCCCCACCCTACCCTGCACACAAGGCCTGGCACATCAGAGGCTCCTGATTTGTCACAGTGAAAGGGTGAACAAATCAACGGGCTGATGACCTTTAAAAATAAAACTTGCTGTCTTCGGGAAACTGGGGCAAATTAAGGCTCTTCATCCACGTTATCAGAGCTGGCCCCCTGAACACCAAGTTCAAAGCAAACCGCTTCCCTGGGACCCAAGCACGCAGTTCACTTGGGAAACTTCCTCGAAGGCCTGGGTGCAGGCCCTGCAGCAGAAGAGAGACGCTTCCAGGACCCTGGAGCAAGGCCCGCGTGGGAATCTTCTGTGAAAAGCCAGCCCGCTGTTTTCCAAACACACGTCAAAATAACTGGGTTATTTCTGAGCAGAGGGAAGGTCAATTACAGATGGTACTGCCGTGAACCGTGAACAGATTCTGGGCGAACAGAATGTAAATTTCATTCTGCAAAGAACCCTTAGAGCAGGAGACACAGGGCTGTGGTCTCTCAGCTCAGAAAATGCCAGGCTGCTGTGGATGGGATTTTTTTTTAACCTTTTAGATCTCTAATAAAAATGGATGGAATCAATCTAATTGTCATTTCTCTCTGAGCTGTGATCCCCGCCGCTCCCTTACCTAGAATAATGCCGTTGGGCTCCTCTGGAGGCTGCCACACGATCCGCACAGACGTGAGCCTCACCTCCGGGAACACGAGCCTCACGGGCGGGCCTGGGGCTGAAGGGGGAAAAAAAAAGACCCGAGAATCAGGCCCCGCCGGGGATGTCACATGGGTACACGGTGGGGTTTCGCAGGGTCCTGTGGGCTGGCCGAGGACAGTCACGACTGCTGATGACACTGCTCGTGGGTGAATCACTCTGAGTTTTGGGAAGGCGACTTTTGCAGTGCTCATGAACCACACTGGGAGTCCTGAGTGTTGCTCAAAGCTGGCCGCTACAGTTGCTAAGTAGCATGGTAGAGGGTACATCAAGTCAGAGTAGAGACTTCGGCACTCTGAGCTGATTCCTCTCCCGGTCTGGACGTCCACACAGCAGGTGTCAGGTGAAGAAGGTGGCTGAATGTCCCTCCCAACTTCCAATGGAGGTTACAGGGATTGCCCAAATAACACGGCTACAACAACGGCCTTCCTCTTAGATGCACGAGCCCTCTCCTGCATCGTCCCAGAAAATCAAGAGGCGATGTCCACAAATGCATATAATAGTTCTTCTTCATGGTCTGGTGCACCAGTAATTCAAAAACTAGCTATGTATGCAGGCACCACTGAATAACAGTGTCCTAGACACTGTAAAATATATTTACTTAAATGGACAAGCTAGTAAATGTGTGGCCAGTGTGGGAACTTCTCGTTGGAACTTAAGAACTGACTCTTCCCAGGCAAGAGGTAACAGGCATGGAACAATCAAATAGAAATAAGATGACGTGTGTTACAGCCGTTCCAGGGCTGCTGAATTTTGCCTCGAGCTAGTAAGTTGAGAATGGTATTTTAAATTATAAACTTGTGTTCTGAACCCTGTGTTTTGGTGAAATAAATGGAAGGAGGCCACGGGCTCACATGCCAGGACCGATTCACAAATGGGAAACTCTGACGTCTGGTCTGTCTTCTGTGGCTTCTGCCCCTCACTGTCCCCAAGGGTGATCGCTTGCATCGTGATGAAATGATGGGAAGGGGAAACAAGTTTATATCACGACTGTGGCAGAAAACAGACATCAGTCCACGACTCCGCTGCCTGTGCTTTGGGAAGAATACCTTCCTAAGTTTGAGGGATGGTTATTAAATGCCCCATTACTGTTCATTCGGGTGGTCCTGGACACAACACACAGTTTTGCAAAGACATGGCCTTCAGGTCACAGGGTCCCTTTCAGACCTTGGCTGCCCTGAGACCAGCCCCCGAGGAAGGACGAGGCTCAAGGCACTCCCTCTTCTGACCCAGGCGGGGCCCAGCTCCTGAGCTGTCTCCCAGCAAATGGGGAGGAGGGTATCATCTCAGCAGTTAGAGAGCGCATTCCAGGCTGATTTAATTCCTTCAGTAAAAATGCTGAAGAAAACCTCTGGTGCCTCACTTTCAGCTGAATCTGAGCCTGGGTTTTCTGGGGGTGGAAACATATTTGCCACAGTCTGGTTAACAAATATCGTGTATAGGAGCTGACCTTGGGTGGCTGACATCTGCAAAGTGGAGAAACATCCCTGAGGATTTAGACAACTGTCAAGAGGTACTTGTTTCTGGGGTTGGGAACCTGGGCACCCCAGCCCCTCAAACATGCACTCTGAGGGGGCTTGTAATGATCTCATTATGCAGGCGAGAGCGGGTCACCCCAGGGAACCTAGGGCTTTTCAGCAGGAGTGGCCTGAGGTTTCCTGGCCTGGCCCATCCGGCCTTTCAGGCTCAGGCTAACCTGTGAACACTCACTCTGGCTGAAACTGGCTGTAGGAGCGCTCTGTGGTCAGAAAACAACTTTGTTTCGTTTTCCTCTGCTGAAAGGAGGGGAGAAGAAGTGTTCTGAAAATTAAGTTGAAAATGACCACCATCCAAAGGGTGTGGACGGGGACAGCAAACCGGGGCAGGGGGCAGAGGCATGGCCCCGACGTACCGTCGTCTTTGGTGCGTTCCAGGATGGGGGGCGCGCTGGGGACCCCGTTCCCAATGCGGGTGAAGGCCAGCACCTGGAGCTCGTAGAGCACGAACTTGCCCAGGCCCGCCAGCAGCGCCGACTGCGTGTGGTTCCCGCGCACCACGCGGCTCCGGGGCTCGGGGTCCAGGTCTTTGGCCCGGAACAGGATCTACACAGAAGGGCAGGGCGGGGAGGGGAGGCGGTGTGACGAGCAGCCTGGGGGCTCAGGACCACCCGGTGAGGACCAGGGTTCTCCCCCAGGGCCGCTGGTGGAGGGCGTGGGGATCTAATTCCTAACCACTGGCGTTTTTAGGGGGAAAGATGGAAGCTCAGCAATTTCCTGGAGACTGGAAGTTGGCTGCAGCGATGACCCAGCCCTTGGCCGGCTGGGTGAGCCAGACGCTCACCGTAATTTACAGGATTTGAGGTCCCCGGCGGCAGCCCCTAAAACCAGGGCTCAACACGAACACAGAGACATCCCGCTTCTTGTGAAAGGAGCAGCGGCCAACCTAGGCTGCATGGTTGTTAGGAGACGGGCCTCCTGCCTCGGATGACCTGGGGACCCCAGAGCTCGAGACCCCGCCCCGGGGCCGTTCACTGCCCTCACTGCAGACGCGGCTGCTCTGAGATGGCCCCTCCACAGCCCACCAGCTCCTCACTCCCAAAGCTCGCCCCCTGGGAGCTGGCCCGAGGGAGCAGTGGCCGGAAGGCTGTGAAGGGCGGGGGTCAGGAGGGAGGCCTGTCCATGGCCAGGTGTGGCTGTGGGCGCTGCTCTCAGAGCTGGGCCAGGAGATCGCTGCATCCAAAGGGGTGGGAAGGGAGCGATCAGGATGTCCCGGGGTGGCGGTGGGGCATGAGGACAGGAGCAAACAGAATGGGATCTAGAAGACGGACGGCCCAAGGAGAGGGCTGGAGTGTATGAGACACACGTGGCCTCACGGTCAAACCCAGGAAGGTCCGTCCTGCTGCTGGGGGAGCGGACGGAACAGAACAGGGGGGTTTTGAGGGTCTGGGTAAAAGCACAGAGGACTGGCCCAGAAAGGTCTCCCAGAGAAGCTGGGAGGTGTCCAAGCCTCGATGCCGGGGCCACCACCCAGGACGGACATGGGCGGTGATGACACCTGCAGACACATGTGTAGGGGCCTCAGGACACGTCCTGGGCATTTTACAAAATCAGCCACCATTGATTGGAAGGCGCAACCGCCATTCTGCCCGTCTTAGGGGGAGGACACGGGCTCAGAGCGCCTTGCATGGGCTCTCGACCGACCCTCACCCCAGACGGTGATGAGGGAGACGGGAGGAGGGGTGTGGAGTCCAGGAAACAGCCAGAGCCGGCAATGCACAGACTATGCAAGCTCACGGGCCGTGGAGGCAGGCAGGGAAGGTCACCCGAGCACGTACCTTGTAGCCCAGGATGAGCCCGTTCTGGTCCGGTTCGGGGACCGAGGCCCACGTCAGTAAGATCTGGGTGGAGCTGACGGCCTCGGCTGACACGTTTTCAGGGGCGGCTGAAGGAACTGCAAGGAATGAGTTAAAGAGATTGGCTCCGGAAGTCTAAAGGCTTCTACAAATAAAGGTCTAATTTTTACCCTTCTAATCAAGTTGTCCTTGAAATAGCAATGCACTCTGAGCGTTTTGCAGTGATCAGATTAAACCTGCAGGGGTATCATGGAAATGTAAATCTCCTTAATATTAGCAACAAATTCCATAAATCCTGGGTATTTAGGAGCTCCATGCTACCGGAGTCCACCCAGAGAGAAAATAAGCTTGTCTGATTCTTATATTAACTGGTGAGAACTGTGACTTTTTTCAGACAGAATCCTCATTTTCAGACACAGTTCACAGACCTCTCTAAATGTGGACTGCGTGAGGGGACAGGCAGGTGGAGAGAGGAGGAGGGGAGGTTACGATCTATGCCTGGGGTGGGGGCAGGGGAGACTTACAAGGTGCACCTCTGTGGGGAGGGGGTGACAGGCACCAGGCAAAGGGGGTGTCAGCACCCCCAGTGCCGCCATGGTCGAAAAGGAGAACACGTCAGGTGCACGAGACTCATGGGCACATAACACGTGATGGGGCTGTGACACCTCAGTGACCACCCCCAGGACCAGCCTACCGGCTGGCTCACCCATCCATCCGTCCGTCCATTCACTCATTCATCCCTTCATTCCTTCACGCCCTCTGTCACTCATTCACTCTCATTCACTGATTCACTCACTCATTTGTTCACTCCCTCACTCATTCATTTACTGCCTCATGCATAAGCACTGCCTTCTTTCTGCTCAGCCACTGTGAAGGCTCCTCTGGTAGTCAGTCAGTCTGAAGACAGAAAGTAACGTATATTTGCACAAAGACACAGCTCCCCAACTCTGCTTCCTACAGCTTCTATACCAAACTGACGTGCTCTTTGCTGTGGGTTGAATTGTGTCCCTTCAAGCTCCCATGCTGAGTCCTGACCCTCTGGGCCCAGAATGTGACCTTATTGGGAAATAGGGCCCCTGTGGATGTAATTAGTCAGACGAGGTCACATGGTGGTGGGGTGGCCCTACTCCAAAGGACTGGCATCCCTGTGAGAAGAGACAGACGTGAACGTGGGAGACCCCCAACCCCTGGCAGGACTGGGTTTGCACTGCCACAGCTGAGGAGCTTTCAGAAGCTGGGCGGGGGGAGGACCACCCCTCCCGGCACCTGCAGAGAGAGCTCACCTCTGCACACACCCCTCGCTCCACCTTCTGGCCTTCAGAGCCTCGAGAGAACATATTTTTGCTGTTTGAAGCCAGCACTCTGGGGCATGTGACTACAGCAGCCCCAGGAAATGAGGGGCTGCTGTAATCAAGTCTTTAAGAAAAAATGAGAGGGCTCCTGCAGGCCCTGGAGGAGATGCTGCTCCGTTGTTGGCCAGCTCGTCCCAGCTGCTCCACAAGTGGCGGGTTTGGGATGGAGATGGAGGGGCCAAAAAAGGCCCAGGGGCAGGCCGGGCCTCACAGGGCAACTTGCTGGGAGCGTTGAGCCTGAAAGGACGGCTTCCCTGGCCTGACTGCCCGGGAGGCAGGAACCGCCCACCCCAATCCCTCGTCCACTCGACAGGCTGACTGACGGTCCTTGGAGCCTGACTGATGAGACTGACAGTCCTCACAGCCTGACTGACGAGGCTGACTGACGGTCCTCAGTGCCTGACTGATGAGACTGACGGTCCTCAGAGCCTGACTGACGAGGCTGATTGACTGTCCTCAGTGCCTGACTAACGAGACTGACTGACGGGCCTCAGAGCCTGACTGACGAGGCTGACTGACGGTCCTCAGAGCCTGACTGACGAGGCTGACTGACGAGGCTGACTGATGGTCCTCAGTGCCTGACTGATGAGGCTGACTGACGGGGCTGACTGACGGTCCTCAGTGCCTGACTGACGAGGCTGACTGACGGGCCTCAGAGCCTGACTGACGAGGCTGGCTGACGGTCCTCAGAGCCTGACTGACGAGGCTGACAGTCCTAATAGCCTGACTGATGAGGCTGACTGACGGGCCTCAGAGCCTGACTGACGAGGCTGGCTGACGGTCCTCAGAGCCTGACTGACGAGGCTGACTGACGAGGCTGACTGATGGTCCTCAGTGCCTGACTGATGAGGCTGACTGACGGTCCTCCCAGCCTGACCAACGAGGCTGGCTGACAGTCCTCAGAGCCCAGGCGTGGACCAGCTGCCATGTGGGTTGGCTGACACCCCCGTAACACACACACACCACTGTTGGCGCCTGTCTACCCCAAGCACAGGGATCCTCCTTCCTGACAGTTCTGGAGAGAATACGCTGGCCAGCTCACCTGGCTGATTAACTTTTTCTTCCCAGCTACATCAGTAGAGGGTCATTCATTCCATCATTCAATCATTCAACAAAACACTCTAATTTACTTGAGCAGATTTGTGTCACAGGGAGAGAATCCTCCTGGTTTCTGGTGAACTCAGCTCCCTGAAGGGAGCAGGCTGGCCACTTATCCCACCCCGAGTTCCCGTACCTTCCCCGTCCCTTGGCGTCACTCATGTCCTCTACCCATCAGGGGCTCCCCCTCGGTGTTGTAACTTCCAAGGAGGTTACCAGGACATTGCTGACATGTATGCTTGTTTTATTTAAAAAAAACAACTGAGCGAGAAGCCGGCACCTTGCATCACTTGTGAATTAAAGGTGTCACTTATCATTCAAAGAGAAGGTAAACCTACAATTTTCCGACTTCATTTTCCACTTTACTTAGAACCAGGTAAGAGGAGCAAGTATACTGTATCAAGACACTAGTGTTAAGTTCTACATTTCTGTCTCTCTGCAAAGAGAGAGGCCATCGTCATAGCAACACAAACTGGCCACCTCTCAATCCTTAACTATCTCCTGCGGTTCATCTTGGAGACCAGAAGTGCCCAGTTCTCAATGTAGACCTACATGTAACAGATGACTTTCTAAGACGTGGTAACAGGTGCCTCCACACACTGGCAGGCCATCCATGTCCCCAGAGAGTGAGGGCAACTGGGCAATTGTGGCAGCTCGGCCTTGGTGCCCAGAACACAGCTGGGTTCCCAACGAGGAGACAGGCTGAGCAAATGGTAGTGTTCAGGATGAAAATTTCAGCCGATTCAAGTCTCACCAGGGAAAACTGCCATTTAGTTACAAAATATTTATGTTCTTAAGATTTGGGGAAAAAATCTTGCACATTACCTAAGTTGTGGGAGATTCAACTCCTTTCCCAGCCTGGTATCTTGAGTTTTCAGACAGTCCTAGAAACTCCCCTTTCATTAAAAACAGTACCATTTAAAATGCATTTTTCCTTCATTTGCTCTCTCACCTCTATAGGGCTTCTTCTCTCTCAGCACCAGCTGTGCCTCATATAGTGTCTTTGATTTTAAGGGTCTCATTTACCCTTATAATATATCATAAGATGTCATGAAATCAGCTTGACCGCACGTCAAAACTGGACAGGTCATGTAAATGTGGCTTGAGAAGTTCTGCGTGGTGCTTTCACGGCTGGCTTTCTGCATGTCTGTGCACTGAGCTTCTTAAAGCATGGATATACGGCTGTCTTCGCGGAGGTGCTGCTGTGTTCCCGAAGGAGTCTGCAGGCTTCCTCTCCTCCCAGCTCCCTCCGACCCCTCCTGACTCCATCAGCAGCTGTGACTCTCCACCAGCGTGCCCTGGAGACCCCTCCACCCTCTTCACCAAATGCTGAGTAATGACCTCTGACCTCTGACCACTGTTTCTGTTGTTGTTCAGTTGCTAAGTCGTGTCTGACTCTCTGTGACCCCACAGACTGCAGCATGCCAGGCTCCCCTGCCCTCCACTGTCTCCTGGAGTTTGCTCAAACTCATGTTCATTGAGTTGGTGATACCATCCAACCATCTCATCCTCTGTCTGACCACTGTAAGGACGGCTTTTTAGCAGCTGGAGAGGTTTTTACAAACAGACACTCTCGAGGCAGCCTTTTTGCCATTGGTTGTCTTTGTTGAGTGTTCTTTGAAAACTATCCCCAAATATTACTTTCTGTTTAAAATTTCACTTTCTTCACCTTCACATGGTATTTAGTTGTTGTTTTCTGAACAAAAGTCTGTGGGAAAGCGCAGAGCTTGAGGTTGACAGTTACTTTCTTCCAGTTCCCTGAGGATTATTATTCCACATTGTCTTCTGGGCTCTGCTGTTCTCCAGAAGTTGGCTTCAAATGGTCTTGGCAGGTGAGTTGTCCTGGGTCCAAGTGTTTTTAAGGTTTTCTCTTTAGCTCTGGTATTTTGCAGTTGTAGGGCAATGCAATTTGGTGCAGATTTATTTTTATTTTTTCTATTTGGGATTCCTGTCTTCAGTCTGATTCACAGTGTCTTACCTCAATTCTGGGATTTCTCAGCCATAATCTCCATGTATTTCCTCCCTCTCATTGCCCTGACCACCCCCTCATCCTTTCTGAATCTTACTGAATGTATATTGGAGCTTCTCAATCTAGCCTTTATGTCTTTTAACTTCTCTATCATATTTTCAGGGTCAGTGTCTCTGTATTTTGAGATTTTCACTCATTTTCAGCTTCTGGTTTGGCAAATCTCTCTTTCGCAGTGTCTAACCTACTTATTACCTCAATCATAGTGTTTTACTCAATGATTGTGTTTTATTTTTTTTCTCTAAGAAAAACTGTTTTAAATGGTATTTTAATCTCTACTTAGAGTTTTAATGCTTTCTTTCAATAATGAAAGACTTTAATATTTATTTCTAGCTTTAGAATCAATGTTATATAACTAAGTCAACGTTACATATGATTTGTATGTAACAATGTGTAAGATTAAGGCATACAACATAAGACATGAAGAAGACAGGACTTGCCCCGGGCTCAGGAAGCCTCTGAGGAACCAGCTAAGTCCTGATGCAGCCAGTTCCCTGTCTCAGACTTCCCACCTTCATCTCAGCCATCTTGGGTGGATGGAGGTCAGGAAGGTATTCTGAGCGTGACTTCTAATAGCCCATGTGGCCTAGGGTAAGCAGTCCCCTGATACATCAAGCGCTGGACAGCGTGGGGGGTGGGGTGAGCTGAAAGCAGAGATTTTTTTTTTCAGGAGAAAGCCTTACTGTTTCAGACCTGTGGAAAGAGCTGGTTTGTGTGTCTTTAAAGAGTGTCAGCAACACTCTTTTTTGTGTTTTTACGAGCTCAAACCAGGCCAGCAAGGGTCCTGCAAACCACTGTTGACCAGTCTGTCCATGGAACCTGGGAGATAAGCATTGTGCCGAGGGACCTCTGGAAGCTCTCCTCCCTTCCTGGCAGTAAGCAAAGGGCTGTGAGCCGTCTCCGGGCAGGTGTCAAGAGGCAGAGGCGCCCACCCTTTGCTCATCTCTCCCCTCTGGAAGCTGCATGCAGACGTCTACAGGACGGCAGAGCCTGGGTCCTCAAATCACCCCATAGACCCACTAACAGGCACACCCATCTTAGTCTTTAAAGAGTGAGAAACTCCCGTTGTGCGAAAGCAACTGAATTTTTGAGGGCCTGTTTTCTGGGGCAGAGGAAACTGTCTTGACACACCACACGCACAACTTTGTCGGGAGGAATTCCTGAACACCGTGCATCATAAAGATCCCGTCAGAGTCTCCGTATACTCCTCCTTCGGATCACAAGCCTCCGCCCTTGAGCCTGGGCCCGGTCAGTTCCTCCTCCGGGAGACACAGGGGTCCCGGAGCCCGACTCACCCGACTCCCGGGTCCTCCTCTGGGAGACACAGGAGGGCCCAGAGCCCGACTCACCCGACTCCCGGGTCCTCCTCTGGGAGACACAGGGGTCCCGGAGCCCGACTCACCCGACTCCGCCACCCGACTCACCCGGGTCCGCCACTGAGCCTGAGCCCGCTTAGCTCCTCCTCCGGGAGAGACAGGGGGGCCCAGAGCCCGACTCACCCGACTCCCGGGTCCGGCCCCGCACGGCCGCACTCCAGGGCCCGGCGCCGATGGCGTTGAAGGCCTGCATCTGCAGCTCGTACTCCGTCCACTCCTCCAGCCCCTCGACCGTGAACTCCCGCTCCAGCCGGTCACTGATGACTTGGGCCAGCACCACAGAGGGCAGGTCCGGGCGCCAGTACTTAATCCTGTAGCCCACGGACTCGGGGTTCCCGTTGTACCGCGAGTCCGGCAGTGGCTGGAAGCGGACGGCAGTCTGTGGTGAGCCCCCGTCTCGGGACTGCCCCCCCGTGAGGGTCCCCAAGCACCAGCCTGTCTTATGGGGCTGAGTCCACAGAAAAGCTACTCTGGGGTGAATATTTTTGGACTTTTTCTTTTTTACTTTTCCCTGGAACTTTTCTTCTGTTAATTACAGGAAGCCTAGTCAGTAACTTTAGCTGGACTTAATTTCTTTTAATATATTGTGGCCTAATTTTGTGGGCGAATGTTCTGATTCAATATCAAGCTTGGCTCTCTTACAAATACTTCAGACCCGCTCCGTGTCGACCAAGCTTAAGGACTTATAGATCCAGCCTGTGGGACGGTCAACTTTCTTCCCTAAAGAATATGCCTTGGTTCCAAGAAGCCAGTGGGTAACGTTATTAATTAATAAGACAGCTGGAGACGGTCTGAGATCCAACAACCAACTGTGGAGTGCATTACTTCTCGGTTTAATGACGAGATTAGCTTTGACCTGGACAAAGGCAGGAGGAAGCGATGCCTGAGCTCCAGGCCCCCTGCCCCCCGACTCACCACCCAGCGGAGCCGCAGGCTGGTCTCACTGGCAGTGCGGACGGTGATGCTGGTGGGGGCCACGTCTGGGGGCGCCTGCAGCGTCTGGATGACCCGTGAGGACTGACTGAAGGGCCCGGCGCCGACGACGTTCACCTGCCTCATTCGGAACCTGCAGGGAGAGGGGACGCGGGAAAACGGAAGGAAACAAAACCACACGCCAATTTCACGTGGCAGATCACGGGCCTCGGCAGCTCATTTTACACTGAATGTTTTCCCCTAAGAATGAGTGAGTCTTGATTCATCTGCTCTGAACTTAGGAAGGATGTTAAAATGAGTGTAGGTTCAATAGCACCTCTCATTAGGTTTTTTTAAAAAAAAAACAACAATCTTCACTTCGGTATTGTATTGAAACAGTGTTCTTCACAAAGATGTAATTTCCCCTTTTACTCCCTTAATTAGTCATTCTCAGTCTTTGTTCCCCAGTCTATGAAGTGCATCCATCCCGGCAGAACAGTGACGTTATTACACCCAGCATCTGAGATGACTGGAAATCCTATCTCTTTCCTCAATCTTACGGAAGTCACGGCATCTCAAGCAGCTGCCCTCACTCTAGCCTTTGTTTGGACCAAGGATTTACTGCCTGGATAAGTTTCAGGGTCAAGAGTCAAAGGTTAAATGTCACATTAGATGCTTGATTAGTGAAACCCATGCCTCCGGGTCCGGGGGAGGGTGAGGCAGAGGGCGTTCCAAGGACGTCTGCTTTTCACACACGCAGCACCCTAATGCCCCAGAGGCGGAGTTCTATAAAAAAAAAAAAAATGACCTACATCTCCAACCAGTGGGTCTTGGCTACTGAGCCTGATACACCAGCCATGCCTGCCGGCTGCCCGGCCAGTGAAGCTGGTAGAAGGGACGCTGCTGGCCTGGCAGCAGGGGCTGTCTCTCTGGGAACGACACTCAACAGCATCTCGTGTCCTGAAAAGCTGAGTTTACCGCTGCGGCGGCTGGAAGCGTGTCAGTTGCACGCGCGCAGCTGGGTTTGCCTCCAGGGACAGAGGGCCCCGGCGGGCGGCTCTCACCGGTAGTGAGTGTAGGGCGTGAGGTCCGGGATCTCCAGCGTCTGGGCGTCCGGCTCGTTCTCCTCCTCGCAGAGGGTGACCCACTCCTCCTCGTCCCCGATGGTCCCAACCTGCGGGACGGAGGGCCTGGGACCCACGGGGCCGGGCGGGGCCGAGCGGGGCCGTGGCCGCCCCCTCAGCGGGGGGCGTTCAGTCCCGTGAGCGCACACCCCCTCCCCCTGCCCCCCCACCTGCGCCTCCGAGCCGGGGCCCCTCTGTCCCCACCACCGGGTCTGGGGGTTTCAGTCAGCAGCTCTCGGTCAGGGCCTGGGCACACCCCGGCCCCGGGGACTCAGATCGAGGGCTCGGGACGGGACCTGCCTTCGGGTCCTTTGTCCCTGCGGACAGGGGACCACCCGGCAGAGACCACCTGCCCGGCCCCACGGAGCATCCAGAGCCGTTTCCCCCGCTGCGCCTCCCGCTTCCACCCAGACACCTTCTGCCCGGATGCACGCCGAAGACACCACCGCCGGCCGGGCGTCTGGACGGCCCTGTGCAGGGGACCCCGCTGCTGCCCTGGGAACTGGCTGGGGTGGTAAAGCCCGCCTCGGGGCACAGCTGACCCAACAACGCCTTCTGTCCCGAACCCCGCCTGTCCCCTCATCCTGCCCGGCGCTCTGCCTCCTGCCGATTTTATTCCCTGTCCGTGAACTCCCATCCAGCCATCTGCCCAGGCGGTATATTCAGCCCTTCCAGGACCACCGGGCCTGACCCCGAGCCACACTTCTCCTGATCCCCATCCTCATCCGAGCGGCTTCTAGTTCTGCCCGAGCCAGTCTGACCACCTCACTCACGCTGCCTGCCCTGTGAACCAATGGTCCTGGCCCCGCGAGAGAGCAACGGTGCAGGCGGGGGCACTGGTCACCACCTGCCGGGAAGCCCCCGAGTTCTCCACAGGTCCCTGCACCCCATCCAGGAAGGTGTGGGGCCCGTGCAGGCTCAGAGGCTTAGGGGGCCTGGGGACACCTGCAGAAGGAGGGCTGGGGGCACGGAGAGCCTCAGGCCGAGCAGGCAGTGCTGAGGTGGGCCAGCCAGGGCCCCGAGCGGGTGACACCCCCCAGACGGCTTCAGAGACAGCACAGGAAAGGCGCTCGCCACTTCTGCAGAGAAACCAAGCCAGCAGGCGGTCATGGGAGGATGGCGCGAGGATTTAAATGACCTTGGTGGACTGGAGACGTGGAGGACCAGAAGGGAACAGCAAACACGGGGCTGGGCGGCGTGAGTCCCGGAGAAACAAAACACAAAACGCTAAATCCTCTCCATTCACAACATGAAAACGGCTCGGCAGGTCCTCCAACAGTTAAGCCCAGAACCACCACGTGACCCAGCAACCTCACGTCTGGGTCTACCCCCCGAAGAAGTGCAAGCTGGCTCTCCAACCCTTGTGCGCACACGTTCATGGACGCTCTGCTCATAGCAGCCCAGGGAGGAAGCATGCAAATGCCGTTGACAGTCGACGGGGAAACAGCGGTGCAGCCCCAGGACGGACGCTGCCCGGCCGCGGGAGGGGCGGAGCGCTGACCCCTGCTGCACCGCGGGCGGGCCTTGCAGGCGTGATGCCGAGAGGAACCGGACCCGGAGGCCACACGCTGCGTGATCCCATCTCATACAATACCCCGGACAAGTGGACACACAGGAACAGAAAGCAGACGGCGGGGCGCAAGGGCGGGGAAGGTGGGCGCGGAGTCGCCTGGGGAGTCTGGACACGTTTCGGCCCTAGATGGGGGTGGAGGCACCAACCTGTGAACCGTATACTTTGACGTGGTCAACTTTACGTTCACCAGGAATTTTACCTCAAGGAGAAAACACAGAAGTACAAAAGGCGGTGACCAGCCAAGAACACGGTGGGAAAAGATCAGGATGTCAGAGCGGGCTCTGGGCTCGGGGGACAGCAAAGCAGCGAGTGGCTGGAGGGGCAGGGACGTCGGGAGGAGGTGGCCGGGGTCCAGGGCCCAGCGCTCGGCGGCCCAGGTCTCCCCAGACTCAGTATGTGACCCCCAGGAGGTGCTGCCGTTGGCTGTGGGCCTTTTATTCTGAGGAGTGTAACCGACAACTATAGGGCTGGCGTACCCAAGTCACATTTCCCCTCCTGTCTACGGCTCTTTTTTAAAAGACCTGGATTTGAAAGGAGGCCACATCACCGGGGCCCAGGTGGGTGCTTCCCGGCTCCGTGGACCTGCCCGCCATTCTTCCCGTGGGCCCGTTTGTCATGACTCAACAGCATCACACCGTCTCAACACCTGAACCTCCAAAAACACGTCCGCTCTCTGCTCTTCTCCACGAAGCCGGCAACATCCTTGGAATCTGGACTGAATCTGGGTCTTTGGGACGCCTCTGTGAACAGGACCCCCCCGCCCCCAAAACAGGCCACAGAAGCTGATGCCCTAATTCTGTGCCCTCCAGCACCTTCCGTGAGCCCGACGCAGGGCTGGTCACACCCAGGCTCGCTCAGACACGGCGCGCGGCAAAGGTTCCTGGTGCTCGCGGGCAAGGGAGCAGTGGGTGGTGTGCGGGCTCTGGAGAGGGCACCCGAGGGGCCGTTTAGAGCCGGGACAGGCAGGGGAGACAGCCGCGAGGAGACTGCCGCGTCGGGCGTGACGCTGGTCAGAAGGGCGATGCATGATGACCTCCGGGCCTGCGGTTTCTGCACCTTTGCACCTCACTTGACAGCGTCTGCTGGACCCTGACGAGTGAGTCAGACACCATCAGCGGTCTTCAGACAGAGGGGCCTTGGGCGGGCTCACTCACAGGGCCCCGGCCTGCCTCCCGCTGGGGGAACGCGGTGTTCCGGGCCACGGGTGTGTGCATGGCCGGCCCCGCCGCAGAGCCTCGAAGCTGCAACAGAAGCCACCTGCCACACAGTCTGAGTCCTCACTGTCTGCCCACCCTGTCCAGGGCCCCGCAGCGGTGCGCCGCACCCCCTCAACGCCTCCTTCCCGAGCCATCTTCCCCGCTTGTTGTCACTTGGGGTCTGACTCACCACTGAAGCCCCTGCACCCCCACCGGGGTCCAGCCCAAACTCGGGGCCTGACAGGTTGGTTTATTAACATAAGGATGAATGTGTTAATACAAACAAACGTGCACAATTTCAAAATCAGTGTTGAGATGGGCTGCCTAGCGCTGAGCTCCAAAACAAACGATCACTGAGAATGTAACTGGCTCCAGACCTCGGGGGTGGGGGGCTGGGTTTCTGTAACAAGTGGTTTACACTCGGGTTAAAGAGACGGAAGCAGGAGCAGAAGGCCTGTGTCACCTGCTGGGCTCCTCCAGCTCTCCGCTTAGATTTCAAGACCGTCAGGAAGGAGCGTTCTAGAAGCAACCATCCGCTCACTAATGATGCGCTGGGCAGGGAGTACGGAGGAATTCTTTAAAGATAAAACAATCAGAGCTTGGCGGGGAGGCTGGGGTTTTGACAAATTTTTTTGCTTCTTTTTTCTTTTAAAGCTAACAAACAGCACTTTGCAATACTTAGGACGAGAGCAGAGATGCCACACATCTCCAATGCTGCTCGGCGGGGGCGGTCATGAGCATCCACGGGGAGCCCTGCGTCCTGGGCTGAGGCCCCAGGAGTCACCGCCCTGCCCGCCTCCTCTGGGGAGGGCTCTGGGCTGCTGCCCCACCATCTGCCTGCACTTGGCACCCGAGACCCAGCAGGCGGGGCTCCTTCAGACCCGCCTGCCCTTTGAATGCCTGGGGTCCCAGAACCTCCACCCCTGCCAAGTGGGTTTTTCATCAGGGCTGCCGAGTTGCCTGCCCCTAGCAGCCCCTACCTCTGAGAAGTCAGGTGGAAACCAGCCGGCCGGGCAGGACCTCTGGCGCCCCCACCGCCCACGGCCGTGATGAGCTCAGCATCCCAGGGGCCAGGGATCGATGGCCANCCTGGCCCCTGCGCCAGTGAACAGCCCTGACGTCCGCAGATCCGAGCCCGGCTCACCGCCCTGGCCCCACGACGGCCCAGGGCCGCCTCCGCTGCCCAGCCTTCCGTGTCTTACCTCCCCCGGGTGCTGGGGTTTCTACCACTTTATTCACATTCCCCCTGAAATATCCTGCTAGGAACCAGTTTTTCCATAAAGCCCCCCCACCCGGAACCCCAAGAAGAGGCTTCTCCTGGAAGCCACTGTGGACCAGGACTGTTCGGTGCACTGGGGGCCCTGGGGGCCTGCTTTCCTTGAGTCTGTAGGCCCACTGTGTGTGGCCGGAGCCCCCCACCCAAAAGCTGCTCTCTGACTCGGCTGGGGCTCGGGGGAGGTGTGGGACTAGCCTCAGCCCTTCCCTCTGTGTCTCCCCGGAGCCGCCGAGGGAGCCGGGCACCGAGCTCCCGCGCATCCCTCAGGTGAAGCTGGCCTCCCAGTGTCCCTCACGAGTGTCTGTCCCTTCTCTCCCTCAGACACGCCCTCTCTCAAGGGCAAACAGGACTGCCCACATCTCCACGCACAGGGTGTCCTACCACTTGCTAAGATCCCGAGAGGCCGGCAAGGGCGAGGGTTGGGCGCCAGCACTGATGAAGTGTGGTGTGTGGGGAGGGGCTGGGAAAGGGGTGGGAACCTGAGAAGCCGTGCCTCCTGCTCACGTGATGCGGGCACCTGCCCCAAAGGCCCACAGGGAGATGCTGACGGGGGAAGCGTGCAAAGCGCTGGGACACTGGCTCGAGCTCAGAGACCGGGAGACGCAGGTTCTCAGGAACACATTCCCCTCAGCAAGGCCTTGCAGGCCTCACACTGGCTCCCTCCTCCCCTCCGGGGCCAGCGCCCAGCCCATTGCTGCCTGATGACACCCAACCACAAAGCTGCTCGGCCCCCCCCACCCAGCCACAGCTCTCCCTTCTGTACTGAAGACCCTGACATTGGGCCTTGGTGACCCCGCAGGGCCCGCCCCTGCCCAGCAGCTGGGGCCTAGAGACAGTGAACAGCTCACTCGTGAGCACGCCTCCCTGTGCAAACCGGCCAACCCAGAGCCTGCCGCCCATGCCTCCTCCACCGGCTCCCACCCTCTGGGCCACCGTCCACCTGCCCTCACCACCCTGGGCAGGTTCCAAGAAACTGGGACGGGCCCTGCACCCTGGAGCCTGCGG